GAGTCCGCGAACGGTTGTTGTTGGTGCGGCGGCGGCGGCGGCTGCTGCGGCGGCGGAGGAGGAGACACCAAGGGAGAGGCAGACAGCGAGAACTGCACCGCGGAGCCATCGGAGTCAACCGACTCATCGACCGTGACAACCGACGGGAGGGGAGTAACGTGAGACACACCAGACGGAGTAGGACGGAGAAGGAGGTGAGCAGGCTACCGAGGGAGTGGAAACCAGAAACAGGGGAGGGGAAACCAAGAGACCTCGGTGGGAAAAGCGGTGGTAAAAGGAGATAGACTCGTCGAAAGTGGCGTCACAAGAGTAAAAGAAGTGGTGAGACGGTGGGTGGTAAAAGTGCCAGTCAGAAGAGTCCAAGGGGAAACCGAGGAAGACACAGGGGACAGTGCAGGCAGTAAGCTTGTCCATGCCAGAGGCACAAATGTGAGCAAGGCAGCCCTAGACGTGGAAGGCAGACGCGTCACCAGGGAACCTGGTCCAAAGAAGGGTCGGCGAAACCTGCGGCCGCTGGGAGCGCGGCCACAGGTTAAGCTGGTGAGCGGCATAGCGAACGGCGAACGACCTCCGAAAATGGGGTGCACCGCCATGAATCATGGAGGTATGAGCCACCTCCATGACCAAACCGATGCGCCGCTCAGCGACCCCATTGTGCTGTGGGGAGTCCGGTAGGGTGTACCACTAGATGAGGCCCTCCGCACGACAGAACTGTCCAAGCCGACCAGAGGCGAACTCGCTGCCACAGTTGGAGTGGGGCCACAACACAGGGAGACCGTGGTGGAGACGCGCACCCACGGGATAAGAACGTCAAGCACGTTGGCCTTCCGCTCCTGGGGAAACAACGTTGTGTAGTGCGTATTGTCGTCGACGAGCACGAGAAAGTAGCGCACGCGACGCTGTCCGGGGACGGGGGCTGGGCCCCAAACGTCCAGGTGCAGGGTCTGGAAGGGTGCGGTGGCAGGACGAAGCAAGGAGGAGTGAGGAGCACGGTGCAGCCGGCCCTCGACGCAGGGCGTGCACAGCGGCGCAGGTGAGGGAGAGAGGGTAGGAAGCGACATAAGGAGACCTAGGACGAGATCGTGCTGAGACATGTGACGTAGACGCGGGAGTGCGGGGTGACCTAGGCGGTGGTGCCACAGAAGCGACGGGTGAGTGAGCGACCGACATGAACAAGCCGCAGCGACCTGGGTAGACGCGGAGCCCGGGGAGGACGCGCCAATCGGGGGGGAAGCAGTGTCCAGCATAAACAGGCCAGACACCGGGTCCCATGGTTACGTCGCAAGGGGGGAACCTGAGGTGGCCTCGGTACAGACAGCATACCTCTCGTGACCAGGGAACGTAGTGGTGACGCCGAGGTCCTCAAGACAGCCGACACCAACTAGGTTCCTGGAGAATGAAGGGATGTGCAGGTGTGTAAGGGAACCCGAGGGGACCGCCGGACAGGGAAGGGTAGTGTAGCTGCGAGCAACGACATGACCAGAAGAGGGGTCAGCAAGTGCGACAGTGGCAGGCACGGCAAGCGGTGTGAGTGTGGCGTGGTCGCGGAAGAAGCAGGCAAACACACCGGATTCAAGTGTGAAAGACAGCGAAGCAGTAGCGGCAGCCAAAGGAGGAGCGAGTGTGGAGCCTAGGCTAGGCAAAGAAAACGGTCCTACGCCTGACGCAGTAGGGGAATCTGTACTAGACACAGATGCTACGCCTAAGCTAGAGAACACAGGGTAATAAGATCCGGACACACTAGAAGCATCAGCATACAGAGAATGCAGGGCAGAACTAATCTGACTCTTTCCTAACTCAAAAACAGGCACACTGTGGCACAGCAGACTGGGCCTGTACAGGAGGTCCGGGGCTGGGCCAAAGCGGCGATGAAATAGGTGGCCGAGGCGGCGGAAGCAGCGGGCGGTCGGGTGCGGACGTCGGTACACAGTGCCATAGAGGGGCCCAGTCTGGAGCTCGTACAGGCAGCTCACAACACCGAAGTTGCCGGTAGATGCCGAGCTGCGAGGGCCGCCACCACGGCCACCACCTCCAGAGGCTCCTGGCCACCCCAGCGAGAGGCGGGCCCACGGCTGCTGCTGCGGCGGTTGCTGTTGTTGCTGCTCCTGGACACTAGACCCAACCCCCTCGTCAGAACCACTGTCCCCGCCACCACCACGACCACCACCAGCGCCACCACCATGCCCTCCCTTGGGGCCGCGACGGCCCAACGCTGTCGCTCCTGGGGGAAGGCCGCAGCTCCGGTCTCAGCAGAAGGGGCAGCCGTAGCGAGTGCGGCTGAAACGTCAGTGCACGTGCACTGGGATGGAGCACAGCCCTGAAAGAAAGGGGTTGCAGCAACACCACTCAACTGAGCGATAGTGCGCTGGCGAGTCTCTATCTTAGACAGGGCAGTGACAAAGGCGGTCAGGGTGCTGGCTAAGTAAGTGGTCGCGGGCAGTGGCTAAGCAGTCAGGCAGGCGCATGGCAATACGGTACAAGGTAGCGCAGAACAGTGAGGGGAAGGCAGTGAGCTGGGCGGCAGTGCTAGCAGCGCGGTAGCTAGTCTCTAGTGCACGGAGGTGAGTGGCGAGGTCACTGACAGTGGGGAAGGTGGAAAGATCGGGGAATAGCATGGGGAGGATCAAGCGGCCAGCGGAGGCGGGGGCGGGTGTAGAGTAGCGCGCAACTACTGGGTCTAGGAAATCCTTGGCGTTCGCGACAGCAGTGAAGCGCGGACGCTCAGACAGGGGAAGAGCATGACTAATGGCGAGGTACGCTACTCCATGACGGGAATCCCAGATAGTGCGAGCGAGCGCAGCAGCAGCAAAGGCCTCACTCTCAGCAGTGGTGGGGTCAGCAAGGAGGGGATTAGGCACGGGGGGGCGGGGAAGCAAGCCATCAATATGCATAACCAGGGAGTGCCCATCCTTGCGGTGACCTGTCAGGTGACGGCGAAGATCGACAAGCCGGGCGGCGAAGTCGATCGCGTGCCCCTCCGCGTCCAAGCGAAGTACGTCGTCCGCCATCGTGTAAACTCAGCGTCATAGCTCCACGGCGGCACAGCATCACAGTGGCACAGCGGCACGGCGGCATAGCGGCACAGGGACACGGTGACACAGGTACCCTATGGCACGGTGGCACAGCGGTGTGGCGGCAGGGCTCTCCAGCGGGCAGACCGGGTGGAAGGCCGAGCAGGGCCCGAGGCGCGCAGGGCCCGAGGCGCACAGGGCCCGAGGCGCGCAGAGCCAGCAGGGTGCAAAGGGCTGGCGGAGCGCTGGGTCCAGATGTGGCGCAAGGGCTAGTGGGCGCTCGAAGGGCCGGCAGGGCGTCTAGGGCCGACGGGGCACGAAGGGCTGGCGAGGCGCTAAGGGCCGACTAGGCGCTAAGGGCCAGCGAGGCGTGACGGGTCGGCGAGGCGCGAAGGGTCGGCGGGCACGGAAGGGGCTGGCGAGGTACGCGAGGAGCCGACGGGGTAAGCGAGGGGCCGGCGAGAAGGCAAAGGGTCGGCGCGCGCGAAGGGCTGGCGAGGCGCGCGAGGGGCTGGGCGGGTGCGCGAGGGGCCGGCGAGCACGCGAGGGGCCGGCAAGGCACGCGGGGGGGGCAGGCGGGCACGCGACGGGGCCGGCGGGGTACGTGAGGGGAAGGTGGGATACGTGAGGGCAGGTGGGCACGCAAGGGGCCGGCAAGGTGCGCTAGGGGCCGGCGGGGTACGTGAGGGGCTGGCGCGGCACTAAGGGCCGGCTGGGCACTAGGGGCCGACGGGCACGCTAAGGGCCGGTGGGGCGCTAGGGGCCGGCGGAGCGCGGTAAAGCAAGGGTACGACGGGGCGGTAGGCTAGGGCGAGGGGCGGAAGCGGGTGGGCAGACCTAACCTACTATGATACCATGTTAGAATAGGAGAATGAATAGAAACAAGAGAGAACAAGGGAGATTTAGGGTTGGAGTTGTACCCTCTAAGAACACAAACCTATCTAGCCTATAACTTCTACATACAAATATATGTATAAGTTGACATAATCACCTAATAGTTTCCATACTCTCAAAATGTCAGGTTTTGCCTTATCCCCGTGCAGCATATTAGTATTCGATGTCCGAGTCTCGGGGAAGACTCCCCAAGAGCCGTGTTATAGTAATCTCCAGATAGAAGTTGAGTAATGCAATAGTGAGGTCGTGATTAAAGTGTGTCGAGTCGAGTACAAATGAAGCACAGGGCTAAATACAAGCACAGCTACCCTAGCAAGAGAGCCTCGAGGAAGGCTACGAAACACACGCGAGGTGGTTTTGGGCGCCTCGGGACTCGGAAGTGTCGGACGCGATGCCGCGTGCAGGCTTGGGGTCTCAAACGTAGTTCGAATCTGAATTGTCGGGCCGGGCTTGGACTTCCGAAAGTCAGGGCTGTACTCGATGTTAGCAAGGCTCGATAAGGAAAAGGGATTTTCCTAACACCCTCCCCCCTCCTAGACGAGACTACCCACATTTGGGGCAGCCCAATCGTGTAAATAGGCCTGCACCAATGGGTGGTTGTCGAGGGTAGCAGCTAGGACCCACATGTCGTCGTCACACGTATGGTCAACCCATCGAACCGGAAATTCTAAAACCCGTTGACCTTGGTCTCGGCAGATTCGGTGGGAGAGGATTTGCTGTCGTTCAGTGGTTTTTCTTAGGGACAGGTCTGATCGAAGGGTAGAGTCATTGACGGTCGAGATTAGCCGTGTTTGCAACGAACTGTCGAAGGAGACTGACGTGGAATGAATCGTGGATACACCAGTCGTCCGGTAATAGTAACTTGGCGGTGATAGGTGTCACCATTCGGACAATCCGGAAGGGCCCACAAAATCTCGTGCGAGAGTTAACGTGGTAAACTCAACCCCAAGTTCTTGGTGTCCAGAAGGACTAGTTGCCCAGGAGACAAGGGTAAATCACGTCGATGCCTGTCCGCATACCGTTTGACCGTAAGGTTGGCTTTTGAAATGGCCTTGGTAGCATTTTTCTGTGCAGTCTGTAAGTCCTTGACAAAATGTTGCGATCGTGGAGCAGGGCTCTCAACTAACGGTGTAGTGGGAGTCGTGGGGTTTAAACCATAATTCAGGTAGAGCTCTACCTGAAGGGGCAGTCGTTGACGAAGGGGCGTTGTTATAGGCGAACTCGATCAGGGGAAGGGGATCTTCCCATTGGGCCAGGTCGGTACAGGTTGTCCGTATCAGCTGCTCCATAGTGTGATTTGTCCGTTTAGTCTGACCGTCGGTCTGTGGGTGGTAAGCCGTGGACGGATGGAGACGCGTACCGTACTGTTCCCACATTTTTGTCCAGAAGTTGGACGTGAATCGGGGGTCACGATCTCTCACGATCACCTTCGGGATTTCGAACAGGCGAACGTCGGTTGAGATGAATAGCTTGGCAGTTTGCTCGGCTGTGATCGTCGTTCGGCATGGCGCAAAATGAGCCATTTTCGTGAGTCGGTCAACAACCACGAGTACAGCATCATTTTGGGATGCGTCCGCCGACAGTCTTGTCACGAAGTCCATGGATACATGTGTCCAGGGCTTGGTGGGCGGATCTAACAGTTGCAGTAATCCAGCTGGCTTTTGGTGAGAGGATTTCATCAGCTGACAGGTGGGACATGAGGCCACATACTGCTGCACGTTGTGGCTCGCATTCGGCCAGTAATAATGACGTTGGAGCATTTTCAAGGTTTTATCAACCCCGAAATGCCCTGAGCAATTAGCGTCATGAACCTCCTATATTAGTAATTCCTGTAACAGTCGGTAGGATGGAACCCAAATTCGGTCAGTACCAGCTTTTGAATGGTAGTGGCCTCGTTGAGTGGTCAAGGCCTAGTGGCCGTTAGAGGTGAAGAGAGGATCTGTATTGTAGCCGTGGGTAAACAGTCCAGTAAGCAACGGGTTAGCTTGGGCAATTAGTACGGCGGCTGTATGGGCAGTAGGGCGGGAAAGGGCATTAGCAATATTATTTGGCCCCTACTTGTAGGTGATGTGGTAGTGGAAGTTGGACTCGAGATATTCGAGACAACGAATCTGTCATGGATTGAGGGTCGGTTGGGCTTGGAGGAACTATAGGGACTTGTGGTCTGTTCGGACAGTAACGTCAGCACCGGATAGGCAGCAGCGCCAGGTCTTTAAACCATTGACCATCGCGAGCATTCCCTTGTTGTGAACCGGGTAATTCCGTTCAGCGCCTTGGAGTTTTTGCGAGTCATAGGCGATTGGCTGCAGGCCCTTGCCAAAGTCATGTAACAGTACCGCACCAATGGCGATATCGCTGGCATCCATAACCAGTTTGTATGGGCGGTCGTGGTCGGCGATACAAAGAACGGGTGGTGTCATGAGGAAAGTTTTCAGTTGGTCAAATGCAGCTTGCTGCCTCTCCCCCCACTCGTAAAAAACTCCCTTCTGCAGCAATTCGGTTAACGAGGCTGTTTACTCCGCCATTTGAGGTATAAAGCGGCGCACGTAGTTGACGAACCCCAGAACGTTCGTAGGTGGTTCCCAGTTGCGAATAGTGTCAATCTTTTTCTGGTAATTTTTAACACCTTCGGTTGAGATGACGTGGCCGAGGAATTCCAGCTCTTCTTTTAAGAACTCGCACTTAGAGCCCTTGATGATGAGTCGGTGCTGATCGCAGAGGGTAAAAACTGCTTCCAGGTCCGTCAAATGTTGTTCCCGCGAGGTGCTGTACACCAGGATGTCATCCAGGTAGAGGATGGCGCACTTGTCCAGTAGCGAGCGGAAGACTTCGTTCATGGTTAGTTTAAAAGTTGAGGGTGCATTCGCCAGCCCAAATGGCATCACTTCCATAACGGGTTCGAAAAGCAGTCTTCGGAATATCGGCTTCGGCGACACGAATCTGGTGGTAACCTCCTCGTAGATCAATCTTGGAAAAAATCCTGGCCCTGCGAAGTTGGTCAATGAGATCGTCGGCTCGCGGAATTGGGTAACGGGACTTGATGGTGATGTTGTTGAGCGCCCGATAATTGGTACACATCCGTAGGCCTCTGTCCTTCTTTGGGGTGAAGAGAATCGGTGCGGCGTAGGGTGACATGGATGGACAGATAAATTATTTCTCCAACAGATAATCCAGTTGCATACACAGCTCCATCAGCTCCGGTTGGCTCAGCCTCCATTGCGATCGGACGGTTAGTTGCACACCCGGTTCCAACTCAATTTTGTGATCGTGTGGTCGTTTGGGTGGCAGGCCGGGTGGCAGGTCATCAGGAAAAATCTTCTCTTACTTGCGCATGATCTTCGCCAGGTCCTCAGGTACAGCAGCACACAGCTTCTCCAGGTCGGTCTGTTTAGCCATCTCCGTTGATGCGATCCATCGGACGGCGTAGACGTCCACTCCACGTGCCATTACATGCTTGATAGTCACATTGTTCACCAGTGTCGACTAAGGGTCGGGTAGTTTCCACTTTGGCAGTCGTCGCCACTCGCCACCCCACTTCAAACGAATGTCGCCATTCCTCCAATCGATGCTTGGATTGTACGTGCGAAGGCAATCGCGCCCCAGGAGCACATCGCAGCCATCCAACGTTGTCGCCAGCATCTTCATGGCAAAACTGTTCATGCGATGGCGAAACTGAATTGGCTGTCGCAATCAATGCGAACGTGTTTCACCCGCTCCCGTATAGCAAGTGGCATGCCGTCGATCAACCGCGTGTCAATCTCAGGCATGCACCTCTCCATTTGCAGTTGCATTTTCTTCGCTCTTGTCATGTCGAACAGACTGTGTGATGCCCCACCGTCCACAAATATTTTAATCTGGTGTTGCCAACGTGCCCTTCCACCAGCACTCGGAAGTCAACAGGTTCACTCATCTTTAACCGGGTGTGGTCGATCGCATAGATCGGCACTATGACTCAAAGGGAATGGTGATCTTCGGGCGACGAAGGCTCATTAGTAGGGGGTCCGACTGCTACTGATGCTGTCCATTTCCCGACTTCCTTTCGTCGTTAGCTCCCAACTTTTACAACTCCGGACAGTCCCGCAGATGTGCCTCGGCTGGCCACATTTATAGCACCTGCCAGAAAATGTGTTATCTAATGGTGCCGCCACGCCGTTGATGGATGGGTAACTGTTCTACCCTCGAAAATGGCTTCCCTCTCGGAAATTCGTCCTCGGCCATACACTGTTTTCTTCCCACGCCTCTGCGACCTGCAACACCTCCAGGAACGTCGCCGGACGGCGCATGCGAATTTCGCGCCGGACCTCCAGTTTCAGCCCTATGATGTATCGACTTGTCTTCTCCGTCTCGTATAGATCTTCGATTTTGTCACAGATGGCGAGAATAGATTATGTGTACTCCAGTACATAACCTAGTTGATGCCATCCGTGCAGCTTCACACGAGCGTTTTCGCATGCGGATACATGCTCAAAATGCCGGCGAAGCAGTGCACCCCACTGTTGCCAGGTGAGAATCTCGGCCACACCAAACAAGGATACTGTAGGAGTTGAGGCCAATCATCGCTCCCCCATCCATCGCCAGTTGCCGATCTGCCAGAGTCCCTAGTGGCGTCATGTACTGTCGCCACCAACTTAATGCAGATCTGCGTAATAAAGACACCGCCAACTTGACGCGTGTCTCATGGTCGTTGACGTCGGCGACATTGAAGAACAGTTCCATGGCAAACAGCCACCCACTCAGCGTGGTGTGTTTCTCCTGGGGGTTGAACGGCGGGGGCATGGCGGGTTTTATCTTCACAACTATCCCTCGCTTGCTCGAACTGTCGTCACGTGTCACTGACGTCGCTTGCGGTTGATGCGTGCTTGCACGATCTTCGTCCACAGTAACAGACGACTCCTGGCGCGTCGCACCACGTGTCTGGCGAAGGCTCACGTCACGTTCTCCTCTTTCAACGTAGCGAGCTCGAGGGCCATGGCCTCCATCTTTGCCATCATTTTGCCAACCTTGGTCGTCAGTACGGATGCGCTTGCTGCCGCCTCTGACAACTCAGCTATTTGCTCGGGAGTCATATTTCTAGTACTACGGCGAGGAGGGCTATTGACCATGAATTATCCTAACAAGCAAACGCCACTAAAGACACTAAGTGCACCTGCAGCGTTAGAGACGTGGAGCGCACACGACAAAGTCGGCGGAACTGAAGAAGTTCTTGCACGACAGCTGGACAACTCGTATCTCCTAACGTGCGAGGTCCCTCTAAAAACTACCTCACTACGGAAACCTAAATGGGCAGGAACGTAGCTTTGATATCAGGTGTTATAATAATCTCTAGATAGAAGTCGAGTTACGCAATAGTGAGGTCGTGATTAAAGTGCGTCGAGTACAAATGATGCATAGGGCTAAATACAAGCACAGCTAGCCTTGAAAGAGAGCCTCGAGGAAGGCCACGAAACACACGCGAGGTGGTTCAGGGCGCCTCGGGACTCAGAAGTGTCGAAAGCGACGCCGCGTGCAGGCTTGGGGTCTCGAACGTAGTTCGAATCTGAATTGTCGGGCCGGGCCTGGACTTCCGAAAGTCAGGACTGTACTTGATGTTAGCGAGGCTCGATAAGGAAAAGGGATTTTTCTTACAAGTCGCCACCATGCGCAGTGCTTTCGAGAAACACTTGCGCCTAAAGCACCTGCGCCAAGCACCTATCGCGCCACAACGAGGAAATCGCGCGCTTCGACGAAAATCAAGAATGGTTCAAAATGGTCGACCTTTTTTGCGCGCGATGTATGGCATGCCCCCGTTACCCAAAACGGTCGACCCTCACCCCCCCCCCCCCCCCCCCCCCCGACTGTACTCGTTTTCGTTTTGATATGCAGAATATTGGAAATGTAATTTTGGGTCGCCGTGAAAACATTTGCCGGATCCCAATTCAGTTGTTTCACGAACATGCATTCAGTTGTTGTATCGGGGCTTACATCTGGTTTTTGGGGCACCCGTCAGATCCGGGTATCTGGCCAAAGCTACCCGTCATAATCCGTGTTCAGCACTTTGTTCTGTCAAAATTCACCCGTCAAATCCGGGTTTCACAACCAGTTCTGCCAAAATTCGCCCGTCAGAATACGGGTTCAAACCCTGTTTTGGAAAAGTTCCCCGTCGGAATCCGAGTTCAGCGAAATTCTCACCCGCTATTTTGTCGAAATCCGGACGTTGTGCCCAAAATGATTGCGCGTGCCTTTTTCGAATGCCCCAGCCCTTAATGTGCCGTCATTGTTAATGTGCCCTTAATGTGTCTTTTATCGTATCACCCTTTCTTGGACCCTATACATACTGCCCAGACCAGTTGCCCCGAAAAAACGTAGTGGCATCTGAACCCAACACGAAAACGGGTACAGTCGGGGGGGGGTCGACCGTCTTGGGTAACGGGGGCATGCCACACATCGCGCGCAAAAAGGGTCGACCGTTTTGAACCATTCTTGATTTTCGTCGAAGCGCGCGATTTTGTCCGCCACAACTCACGCACATCCCAGTGCACACCCTTCGTAGCTCCTAGCTCATTCGGTCGTCGGGTTTGCTCTAAGATCATAGATCGGAGCTATGGATCTTGCTTCAAGCCGTAGAGCGAATATTAGTCGGATCTAAGTGTTAGAAATCTTCCGGTATCTTCCGCCGGTATGAACCATCCGCGACCGTACTGAACAGGTTCACCCGTTAGTCGCGGACAAGGCGGAAGTGACGCCTTATCCAGTTGCTGCTCGTCCGATTAGGTCACCTCGTGAAGCGGACTCACTGCGCGGTCCCTTCGCTCTCTTCTTCCCTTCTCCCAACAAGCCCCCGTCCCCCCTTTCCGCTTCCCCGCTGTTTTCCCCCTTTCCTCTTCCCGCTGTTTCCCCCCTTTCCCCTTTCCGCTGTTTTCCCCTTTCCCCTTTCCCCTTGCCCGCTCCCCGCTGCCCGCTGCCCGCTGCTCGCTGGCCGCACCCGCTGCCCACTGCCCGCTGCCCGCTGCCCGCTGCCCGCTGCCTGCTGCCCGCTGGCCGCCGGCCGCTGCCTGCTGCCCGCTTCCCGCTGCCCGCTGTCCGCGGCCCGCTGCCCGCTGGCCGCTGGCCGTGGCCGCTGCCCGCTGCCCGCTGCCCATTGCCCGCTGCCCGCTGCCCGCTGCCCGCTGCCCGCTGCCCGCTGCCCGCTGCCCGTTGCCCGCTACGCGCTGGCCGCTGGCCGCTTTCCACTGGCTGCTTTCCGCTGGCCGCTGCCCGCTGCCCGCTGCCCGCTAGCCGCTCGCCAGCTGCCCGCTGCCCACTGCCCGCTACCCGCTGCCCGCTGCCCGCTGCCTGCTGCCCGCTGTCCGCTGCCCGCTGCCCGCTGGCCGTGTCCGCTGCCCGCTGCCCGCTGCCCGCTGCCCGCTGCCCGCTGCCCGCACCCGCTGCCCGCTGCCCGATGCCCGCTGCCCGCTGCCCGCTGCCCGCTGCCCGCTGCCTGCTGCCCGCTTCCCGCTGCCCGCTGCCCGTTCCCCGCTGCCCGCTGCCCGCTGCCTGCTGCGCGCTGCCCCCTGCACGCTGCCCGCTGCCCACTGCCCGCTGCCCGCTGCCCGCAGCCCGCTGCCCGCTGCCCGCTGCCCGTTGCCCGCTGCCCGCTGCCCGCTGCGCACTGCCCGCTGCCCGCTGCCCGCTGCGCACTGCCCGCTGCCCGCTGCCCGCTGCCGGCTGGCCGCAGCCTGCTGCCCCCTACCCGCTGCCCGCTGCCCGCTGCCCGCTGCCCGCTGCCCGCTTTCCACTGGCCGCTTTCTGCTGGCCGCTGCCCGCTGCCCGCTCGCCGCTCGCCAGCTGCCCGCTGCCCGCTACCCGCTGCCCGCTGCCCGCTGCCCGCTGCCCGCTGCCCGCTGCCCGCTGCCCGCTGCCCACTTCCGGCTGCCCCCACACTGCTGCCCACTGGCCACTGAGCGCTGCCCGCTTCCCGCTGCCCGCTTCCCGCTGCCCGCTTCCCAATGCCCGCTGCCCGCTGCCCTCTGCCTGCTGCCCGCTACCCATTGCCCGCTTCCCGCTTCCCGCTGCCCGCTGCCGCTGCGCGCTGCCCGTTGGTCGTGGCCGTTTTCCCGCTGCCCGCTGCCCGCTGCCCGCTGCCCGCTGCCCTCTGCCTGCTGCCCGCTGCACGTTGCCCACTTCCCGGTGCCCGCTGCCTACTTCCCGCTGGCGGCTTCCCGGTTCTCGCTTCCCCCTGCTTCCCGCTGTCTCCCGCTGCTTCCCTCTGCTTCCCGCTGCTTCTTGCCGCTTCCCGCTGCTCTCTGCCTGCTTCCTGCTGCCGGCTTCCCGCTTCTCGCTTCCCCCTGCTTCCGGCTTCCCGCTGCCCGCTGCCCGCTGCCCGCTTCCCGCTGCCGGCTTCCCGCTTCCCGCTCCCCCCTGCTTCCCGCGGCCGGCTTTCCGCTTCCCGCTTCTTCCTGCTTCCCGCTGTTTCCTGCTTCCCGCTGATTCCGCTTCCCACCTTCCTGCTGTCTCCCGCTGCTTCCAGCTGCTTCTTGCTGCTTCCCGCTGCTTCCCACTGTCTCCATCTGCTCCGGCTGCTTCCCGCTTCCTACTTCCCTCCGTTTCCCGCTTGTGCCAAAACTGCAGCGGGCAGCACAACGGTTGAATGTGTTGTGCCAAATGTGCTTCGGGCAGCACAACGGTTGAGTGCGTTGTGCCAAATGTGCTGCGGGCAGCACAATGGTTGAATGCGTTGTGTCAAATGTGCTGCAGGCAGCACAACGGTTGAGTGCGTTGTGCCAAATATGCTGCGGGCAGCACAACAGTTGAATGCGTTGTGCCAAAACTGCTGGTCGTAGCACAATGGATTCTCGAGAATTGCCGCAAGCATAGCATGACATGGCATGGCATGGCATGGCGTGGCATGAGATGGCATTGCATGGCATGGCACTTGCCTGCTGAATCTATTTCGCATCTCTCCGTCATGCCCAAGCAGACGTCCATATCCTTTTCCAAGCTCCGTCTGGCACTCTCCAATTCCTGATAAACTCACCAATTCCTGATAAACGCACCAATTCCTGATAAACGCACCAATCCCTGATAAACGTACCAATTGCTGACAAACGCACCAATTCCTGATAAACGCACCAATTCCTGATAAACACACCAGTTGCTAATAAACTCCGTTCCACCCAGTGGTGCCGCCCATTGTGCTGCTCTGATTGCTTCGCTGTGCATGTGCGCCATGCACTGCTCTGTGTGTGTACCGTGTGCATGTGTTGCTATGCACCTCTGTACGGAATTACGATTCCTTAGTGGGGCTCACCACAGCGAGTACACGTGAACAGTTCGCGTCCGCAGGCTCGGCCCTCAAGTCACCCGCCAAACCAGCCCCCGTCGACCTTTTCGGCCCCAACGTGATCCCGAGTCGCCCCGAACCCATTTTGACCCCGTCACCCTCGGGACTATCGAGCCCTTGACTGGTCCAACCCTCGACATTCAATCCTGGTCAACACACCTAGTATATATTGCCTAGGCCTCATTATTCTGGACAACATTGTAATCACTTTCCCCTATAGTATTTTGCGCTATACTCTGAGTTATAATTCATAACAACCTTTGTGTGTGTGTGCCGTGTGCATGTGCGCCATGCACCTCTTTGTGTGTGTGTGCCGTGTGGATGTGTGCTGCTATGCATTGCTGTGCTTCTGCTGCCATGCATTCAAGAGCAGGACCGCTGCCAGCGTGTCACGTCGTTGATTCATGATATCCTTTGTATTGGAGTCAACCACTTCAACACTTCATTGCACATCATGATTCAAAGTCGTCGCTGACCCCTGCTTATCTCTTGGACTGCCAGCGCTGTTTTATATAGAAACGGGCCTAGTGCTCCCCCCACATGCTGGGTGACTGGGCAGTTTAGTGGGGCAAACACTGATTATTTACCTTATAATGGATAGCTTTATTTTGTGGCCGAGCTGGGGCTGGTTTTGCATATTAGTGTCACCAGGGAAGGGAACCATGTTTCCAGAAAATAGCGGTTAGTAACCGGAGTTGTACGACGAGAACGTGAGCGAAATTCGCTTGTCTGTAGCAAAGGCGATGTGTGAGCTGTTACGCTTTCGCGTGCAACTCACCACTTAGAACACGCCCCTCACTGCCCCCTCTGACATTGAGAACTCCTGAGAGCCCCTCACCCCTTGAGAGCTGCTGCATATAGGGTCAGAAATGCGATTCCGAGTGGTGTCGACAGTTTCAACTCAACCAACTATCACCGTCCAAGCATAAAGACTTCGCACAGGCTATCGGAACGAGCGATTTCAGAACGTCAGGGAAGGAAGGCACCTCCCTGAGCTACCGCCTGCCCCTGCCTTAGTCTCATCGATTCCGCGTCGATTAGGGCGAATCCCGACGTGCTTCGGTTGCTTTTCCACGCATCTCCGCCGCTCCTTGGCCGTGATTCCACCAGACCGAATTTTATGTTCGCCACGCTGTCTCTCCGTCGTCCCTACCCTCCGCGTGTAATGAGTCTATTTTTTTAGTCGACTCAAAAATAGACTCATTACACTTGGCCGTGATTCCACCAGACCGGGTTTTATGTTCACCACACTGTCTCTCCGTCGTCCCCTCCACCTTCCTCGCCGACGCCTTCTCCCTCCTCCGATCCCTCCCTCTCGCCGTCCTCCCCTCCATCCTTCCCTGCGTCCGTCCCTCCCTCCCGCTTGCCCTCCTTCCCTCCGGTGTTTGGAGTCGGCGCCTGCGCGAGCGGTCCCTCGCCACTTCCTTCCTGCCCTCCTCCCTTGCCTATTCCGACCGTCTGTTGCGCCCGGGGCTTCTAATGGTGTGACAGTAACGGATGGACTCATGCCGCAACGGAGCATGCGAATGCGGATCCATGTAATGACGGCGCCGGGTGCTGCGGCAGCGAGTGTAACGTCGAGGGGGGTAACCAGAGGGAGGGTGACGGATTGGCGAACAGAGGAAAGGGTGACAGCAGGGAAGGTGATAACAGGGAGAGTGATAGCAGGGAGAGTGGCGGTAGGGAGGGTCGCAGCAGGAAGAAAAGCGTTATCAGCAGACAATGCAGGGGACTCAGCAGCAGCAGCAACAGAAGCAGGAGCAGCAACAGCACAAGCAGTAGCAGCAACAGCAGTAGCAGCGGCAGCAGCGCAGCCAAGAAAACGGCGGCAGCGGAAGCCCAAGGAGGAGGAAAAGGACGCCGCAGCAGCAGCTGCCCAGTATGCTTATAACGCGGACGGCTCTCCGCCTGTAGTAATCCTCCTGGACTTTGAAACCACCGGGCGCGGCGCACGGCAGAACCGCATCGTGGAGATGGCTCTACGGGACGTAGCGGGGGGGCAGGCGTCAGCACTGCACACCCTGGTGAACCCGTACCCGTGGCAGATCACGCCCGGGGCACAGGAGGTGCATGGCATCAGCATGCGCATGGTCAACCAGCCGTCTGTGCCCCGGTGAGTGCTGGGGGAAGGGGGATGGAGGGGAGGAGGTGGGGGGAGGGGGGTGCAGCATACCCTGGTGAACCCTTGCTCGAGACAGATCAGGGGCGGGGCAGAGGACTAGTTTTGAGGCGCCTCAAAACTTGCTCGAGACAGATCAGGGGCGGGGCAGAGGAGGTGCACTGGGTGAGCATGCGCGTGGTGGACCACTCATCTGCGGTGGAGTCATTTTTTAGAATTCTCAAAATTGACTCCTCCGGGGCAGAGGAGGTTCACAGGACGGGATTAGCATGGGCATGGAGGACCACTTATCTGCTCCCAGGTGCAGGATGGACCTCTGCTCCTCCGTCCTCTTCTCAATCTCCTCCGTCCTCTTCTCAATCTCCTCCGTCCTCTTCTCATCCTTCCTCTTCTCCATCCCCTTCACACGCCGCTCCCTCTCTCTTCTTAACCCCTCCTTTCCCTGGCCTCCCCCCAGGTGGCCTGCAGCAGGGCAGCTGCTGGTGGACTTTGTGGAGGCCAGGAGGGCGGTGCAGGCAGTGAGAAACGAGGTAGCGCGCGGGGAGGTGGCAGGCGGTGCAGTGCTGCTGCAGGGAAGCACGGCAGCAGGCGCAGACGGGCTTACACCCCAGGCCGTACCCATGCCCATCAGCCAGAACAGCATGGCGACAATTGCTGCGACCCACAGCAGCACAGGGATGGGTGCAGGAATGGACGCAGGGGTGGGCGCAGTTATGGGCGTCGCCTCTTCTGCCAGCCTGTCTCTGGACAGCCACACGGTCTCCCTCCCCCCGGTGGTGCTGGTGGCGCACAACGGCCACGCCTTTGACTTCCCTCTGCTGCGCAACGAGCTCGAGAGAGCTGACATCGCCATGCCCCCCGGCTGGCTCTGCCTCGACTCCATGCGCCTCTGCCAACGCCTCTTCAAAGGTGCGTGCCCCCCTTTACGACAGCCCAGGGGAGACGTGCCTCCCTCTTCTTAGCCTTTGACTTCCCTCTGTTGTGTCACAAGCTGCAGCGAGCTGAGATCACCGTGCCCGGCTGGCTGTGCCTAGACTCCATGCGCCTCTGCCAACGGCTCTTCAAAGGTGCGCTGCTGCCAGCGGCTGTTACAGGTGCATTGTTGGTCCCATTTCGGCTGGTTCGAGCTCGTTTCTGCCTCTGCCTCGACTCTTTGCGCTGCTGCCTCCACCTCTGCCACCACCTCTGCTATCACCTCATCGCGTTGGACTTCCACTGCTCCATTGGCCTCCTTTGCCCTTCACTTGTGCCCCTCCCCTCCCACCTCTTGCACCCTCTCCCCCCTCAGTGCACCCTCTCCCCCCTTTGGCCTTCTTCCTGCACTGCAGACTCGGACCGCATCCCGCTGCTCCACGCCCTATGCCACTCACTTGTCTCTCCCCTCCCATCTCTTGCAAAGTCCCCCCCCCCTCTCCCCCCCCACCCCGCTTTTGTGCAGGCGGCGACCGCAAGCCAGCAAGCAAGTCCCTCAGCTTCCTCTTCTCGCACCACTTCCGCTGCTCCACGCCCTTTGCCCATCGGGACCTGGCTCACAGGGCCATGGCTGACGTGGACAAGCTGGCCGAGGTGCTCTCTGCCATGATGTGGGAGCGGGGGGTCACTGTACCGGAATTGTTGCAGTACACTAAACCATTCTTATAATGAAATGTGTATAATACAAACGCCAAAACCTCTGGCCATACAGCCATGGCATCAAGGTGCTAGTGTATCACAATGCTTGGAAATAAGAATCCACTAGGCCACGTTAGAGCTTACCGTATAACCAATTAAACAACAATGGCAACAACAACGGTTAGACCTTGCACATGCGCTGACTGAGCTCTGTGCCATGACCAGACCAGGCCATACTGTAGCCACCCTGCCATTTCAAGGTTCTCCTCAGCATTCAAGACTGGGTGCTCGTTGTAGAAGCGTCCCAGTCATCTTAAGGAATGGCTCAAAGCCTCCCCCGGCTCCTCCAGTCGTCCCTGAAATGCGTTTTGAAGTCCGTGGCAGCATCAAATGTCTCTTGACTCTTGCTGCCTATCAGGTGGCCTTACAAACGCCAGTAGAACATACATCTGCGACATAGTCATCCTTCTTGTTCAGCATTGCTCGTCGTACCAACGCTGCTTGTAGCAACACTATTTAGCCCACATCCATACCCACTATTACCCTTTTCTGTTTGCAGTAAAGGTGTAGTCCCATTCATTCTAGGTGTACCTACACTCCCACCAACACCCCTGCTGGTGCACCCCCCTCACCAATTGCTCCAGACCCATCCTCCTCATCCCCCCCCTCTTCCCTCTCCCTCCTCTCCCGCCTCTCCCACTCCACGGACCAGCTATAGAGCACCATCCCTGCAACGGCTAGCAGCATACCAAACAGCACCTTGGGAGTGAGGGGGTCTTTGAAGACGGCCCAGCCCAGCAGGAGAATGGCGATGGTCTTCATGTGGCCCAGCACCTGGAACGACACTGCTGAAAACTTTCCTATGCACAGGTACACGCTGACTGTGGTGAGCAGGGCGAGGATGCATGAGAGGAGGATGCACGCCTGAAGGTGGGGGCAGAGGGGAGAGGGGGGGGAGATGGGTGGCAGGCGGCAACGGGGGGATTGACAGGGAGAGGTTAAGAGAGAGAAGAGGATGAGAAATCTGTGCTGACTGTGGTGAGCAGGGCGAGGAAGCAGGAGAAGAGGATGCATGCCTGGTGGGTGGGTGGGTGGGTGGGTGGGTGGTGGGGGGGGTCGGGGGGAAGGAAGGGTTACCAGGGCGAGGTAACGAGAGAGTAGAGAATGTGAAATCTGCGCTGACTGTGGTGAGCAGGGCGAGGACGCAGGAGAAGAGGAAGCAGGCCTGAAAGAGGGGGGTGGGGGGAACAGTAGTGCCGGTGCACCACGGTAGTGCCCGAGCACCACGATAGTGCCCGAGCACGGGGGAGAGAATTCAGGTAAGGAATAGAGAATGCGAAGGGTAGAATGATCGTGGTGATGGCGCGAGCATCCGGGGGGGCAGCATGCATGCCGAATGGGTGCATGGAGAGAGGTAGCAGGCGTGCGTGTGTAGCAGACCAAGAGGAAAAGCAGGGCTGCAGGGCAGAAGGCTACTAGAACCAAGGTCAGACCACAGGGCATGAAGAAAAGCAGGGCTGGAAGGCGGCCCGAAATGCAGCCCGATGGGCGAAATGCAGCACTTACAGTGGCATCGATGGTGAGAGTGTAGTGGAAAACGCTTTGGCTTGTAAGGAGGAAGTCCACAGCGGGTCCCAGCAGTAGCAGGGAGGCAGCTTGCAGGGGGGCGGTCTGAGTGAGGAGGTCAAACGAGCCCAGGGCGTACCGCTGCCTGCAACTCGCCCACCGACTGGTTGGCGGGGAACGGGGAAGTGGTGAAAGAACGAGGAGGTTTTAACTGGTGAGATGACTCGACAGGCATTCATACGCAGTAAATCGAACCCAGCGCATAGTGCAGCTGCAACTCGACGAATGACTGGTCAAAGGCGGGGGAAAAGAGTTGGGGTTGACAAGGGGTATGCGGACTGGGAGAGGAGATGTATGAGGAGGTAAGCGGTCCGAATGAGGAGGTCGAAGGAGTCCAGTGCGTAGCGCTGCTGCAACTCGCCCACTGACTGGTTGGGGGGATGCGGGGAAGGGAACGCGTAGGGAAGAGGAAGACGTGACAGCGTGACTTGTGTCAGACTTGTGTCAGAAGACAGCAGTCTGTATGAGGGCAAAAAGTTGGTAGCATATCACTGCTGCAACACGCCCCACTCTCTTGCACAAGCCCTCCTATCCCTGTTCAGATAAGTCCCAATCTGCTGCACCCTCGTTACACTCACACTCTGCTGGGACCTTCCTACACTCACACTCTGCTGGGATCTTCCTACACTCACACTCTGCTGGGATCTTCCTACACTCACACTCTGCTGGGATCTTCCTACACTCACACTCTGCTGGGATCTTCCTACACTCACAATCTGCTGCAGTGAGGTGGAGACAGCTCCGGCAGCAGCTGCGGCAAGGCCGGCCGCAGTGACAGTGACGTCGGTGACCGTGCATACGGCCACCCCCAGCAGCACCACCAGCACGGATAGCAGCGTGCAGGGCGAGTAGGCCTTGCCGTGTAAGCTGGTCTCGAACACGCAGGTGAGAGGAATGATGGCCAGACGGCTGATCTGGTGCGGGGTGCACGTGGGGGTTGGGGAGGGGCGGAGAGGGGAAAGGGGGAACGAGGGGGAACGTGGGGGGAACGTGGGGGGAACGTGGGGGAACGTGGGGGGGGGGGGGGGGGGGGGGGGGGATGCAGAAGCATAGCTGAAAGCGTGGAGGGCGAGTAGGTCTTGCCGTGTAAGACAGTCTCAAACCCGCAGGTGAGAGGAATGATGGCCAGACGGCTGATCTGGTGCGCGAGGTGCATATGGGGAGGAGGGGGGGGAGGGAGGAGGGGAGGGGAGGGATGCAGAGGCACAGGCGAGGGTTGGAGGGCGAGCAGGTCTCAGCGTGAAAGGCAGGTCCCGAGCACGCAGGTGAGAGCAGCCGTGAGAGCAATGATGGCCAGCTGGCCGTGAGAGAAAAGGTGACCAGGCAGCTGATGGGACGAATGATGGGCAGACGGCTGATCTGGTGCGGGGAAAAGAAGGGCGGGTGGAGGGAACAAGCTGTGGGAGTGATGTGTGCATCAACTGATGCAACGATTTTTGAGGCGCCTCAACAATAATGTGTGCTTCAACTGATGCAACGACGAGGCCCTCAATGGAGACTTCATTCAACCAGTCAGTCAGGCTGTAGATCGGAGTGAGCCATCGGATGTGCTGGGCGCAAATGGGAATTGATGGGCGCAGGTGGGGCTGTGCTTGGCGCAGGTTAATTGTGCCGGGCGCAGGGGGGATGCGCTGGGCGCAGATGACATGTGCTGGGCGCAGGTGAGATGTGATGGGCGCAGGTGGGATGTGATGGGCGCTGGTAATTCACCTGGTAAAATCCAACAGAATTAGCGAGGAGGGCGAAGTTGGTGGAGGCAACGCAGACGTTGGAGAGCAGAGTGAAGCGAATCACCTCCCATGTCGGCAGCGCAGGGCTCGGGGCGGGGGGGGGTCGGAAGAGGGGAGCAGAGAGGCGGAGGACAGCGGAGCGGGGGAGGGAGGGGAGGGGGGAGGGAAGAAGCGCGCAAGGCAGAGGCAGAGGAGCCCGGCGAGAGTGGCGAAGGAGAGGTGCAGACCGCTCAGAGTGGTGGCTGGTGGTGCGGGGGCGGAGGAAGGATTTTTGAGTCGACTCAAAAATCGACTCATTACACACTGAGAGGTGCAGACCGGTCAGAGTGGTGGCTGAGGGTGCGGGGGGGGAGGAAGGACGCTTTTGAGTCGACTCAAAAGCAGGGGGGGAGAAAGGACGGATGAAAGATTCGGAAAGTGCGTGTGAGGCAAGGGAGATGTGGAAGGATGCGGGCTCTGGAATCACCCGAGCGGTAGAGGCAGAGGAGCCCGGGTAGAGTGGTGAAGGAGAGCGGTGGCTGTAGTGGCTGTGCTGACCGTTCAGAGTGGTGGCTGAGGGATGCAGCCGCGAGGGACGAACGGAGGAAAGACCCAGGAAGCGTTTGTGGGGCAAGGAAAATGTGAGAGGACGTGGGTCGTGGAAGGAAAATGTGAGAGGACGTGGATCGTGGAAGAACCCTAGGGGATGCGACATGACTACCCATCGATAAAAAGGCGTCTCTGAGGACAATACTAACCGTAGGCGAAGGCGCATCACTACTAACCGTGTATGGAGGCACGCCACTAACCGTAGACGAATGAGTAGCCGGTCATGACTTGCTTGTTGACGAGAATGATGGCGACCGAGCTGACGACATTCAACGTCCATGCTGTCGCCGACGACACGCGCGACGGATGGTTCAACATCGCCGGGCCGAATCCGATCGGAATGCGACGGAATCTACTCGGACTTAAAGTTGGACGGAATCCGCTCAGATCCTCGGATTCACGGATAGCGAGCCAATCGGCCTGAACTACTCGAATCGGGTGTGCTTGGCAGCGCTACATGTCATCAACGGCGCGTGTGGTAGCGATCGCGAGAGCTCACAGCTGAGCGCGCTAGTGCAGCAACTAAGTCGCTTAGGGGGTCGGCAGGGAGATCCATGCGATAAGGAAATTGTACCCCGCATATTCTGCTGTCGCATTCTGTTGCATTCTGCAGCGCCCTGACAAACCGCCCTGACATTTGCGGGTCTGACAATGAATCTGCTTGAAAAATATTCCAGGGAAAATTGCAATGTTGGGAATTCCCGAATTTTCACCTCTCGTTTCGGAAACGCAATTCCCAATAACGAGGAACACCTTGGGAACCCCACCACCACAACCCAGACAAATCCCAAGGTTTGCCTGACAGTGAAACCTGGAGTAGCGTCACCTTGAAGCCGCCTTTACATCCCATCATTCCATCTCCACCGTTCATTCGTCAGATCCGCTGATTCCGTCGAACGCCTGTTCTTGCTGGCAAATGCCTACCTGTAGACTATTCTGTAGGACGCCGTGACCGTTGTAGTGGTGGCTGTTGCATGGGATTCAGCCACGCGCTACTCCGTCCCGTGAATGGCTGTGACCTGTCGCAGCAGCCAGATTCAGTCTCCCGTGTTTCTGTCCTATCGTCGAACAATCTTTGTCCTTCCTCTGACGTCGTTGACCCTCGAGTAGGCAAGACCTAATACGCCAGGGTTCGCCGTCTTCATTCGCCGATGCTGTCGCGAGTGCTTGTCGCTAGTGCTCGTCGCTTGAATTCCCGAATCCGCCATTACTCTCTGTAGTTACTTAGTACGAGAATGGAGGCGCTTAACAGGCCCGTCGTTCAAGCATCGGGTGTGCCGATCTCGTGGACGCTTTATTTCCCCAGCGAGGAGTTTTCTCCCGAGGACAGGCGCGCCGAGCTCATCAAATCCCTCATCGACGGATTCCTCACGGAGAAAGGCCAGCAGCTGCTGCAGCAGGTACTAGCGGAGTGATTGTGAGTTCATAAGGAGGCTCCTGGTGTAATGACGGTCGACTATTAACAGTTCGTGATGCAGCGAGTTGAAATCTTGTTCTTAAAATTCAGGAATACCCTGGTGCAATGGTAAACGTTTCTTGAAGCAAGACCTGCCCTTCCGTTCAATTCCTGGATTCTCTGATGCAGCGTCTGATATTTCGTGAGGCTGGCGTTTTCCGGCTCAGTTACTGAAAAAACGGTGTTGTAACTACGTGCATTTCCCTGTGGCAATCATAGGCGTTTCAGACATCACGGACATTCTTGATGCAGTGACTGACATTCCTAATTCAATAACTGATGAATTCTTCTTCCTGTATCCACCTTCTGATGCAACGACTGAATTCTCCTGAGGCAATGATGACTGACATTGCCGAACGCTGGGGCTGACAGATTTTGGTGGATACTTACCTCAGGAATGGCAACCGTGTTCTAATTGCTGCGTCCCCTTTCCAACAGGCCGACCCCAAGGAGCTGTCTCGATGGACGGTCGGCATGGAGTTACTGAAGCAGCACCTGCAGGCTCCGTGCAGCCCACAGGAGTACAAACCTCATGAGTGTCATGCTACTTCCCCCTCACCACAGGCCGACCCCAAGGAACTGTCTCTTTTGTCGCGATGGACTGTCAGCATGGAGTCGCTGAAGCAGCACCTGCAGGCTTCGTGCACCACGCAGGAAGCAGCAAGTGGCAGCAGCGATCTGGGCGGGGCTGCGGAGCTGCTGCTTCAAGCGCTCGAGGCAGCGCCAGAGGAAGCACTGGCCTGCCTGGGTGCTGCTGCCACTGAGGTGGGGTGTCTCGGGCGTTAGTTGATTACGGATAGGCAAAGCAAGGTGAATAGGAGGAAAAGTGTTGCATGAGATGTGCTTTCTCCTTTGGTGTTTTGTTTTTTCCATCAACCATGTGCCACCCATGAGTGTTGATAAACCATGCATCCCTGTAGCGCCCCTGCATCCCTGTAGCGCTTGTGCATCCCTGTAGCGCCTGTGCATCCCTGTAGCGCCTGTGCATCCCTGTAGCGCCTGTGCATCCCTGTAGCGCCTGTGCATCCCTGTAGCGCCTGTGCATCCCTGTAGCGCCTGTGCATCTCTGTAGCGCCTGTGCTACCTGTAGCGCCTGTGCATCTCTGTAGCGCCTGTGCTACCTGTAGCGCCTGTGCTACCTGTAGCGCCTGTGCATCTACCTTTGTGCATCCCATCCCCCACATCCACCCTCACCGCTCACCCCTCCCTGCATGGCAGATGTTCCTGGAGAGAGGCCTGCTGGAGGCTCCGCCTCTACCCTCCTCCTCAGCCTCGTCTGCCTCACAGCACGTCTTGGGTCGCCTGGTTGTGCGGCTGGTGGACCACAGCGACTCAGTGATCGAGTTCAAGAAGCTTAAAGCTAGCAGCCTCGGTAAGACCACTCACTCGCCCCACTTGGATTCTTTTGAATTCCCACTTGCATTAGTTTGTAGCACGTACGTCTGCTAGAGTTCCAACTTGGAAGCTGTATCTTGCTCTCACATGTTCCCCTCCTCTACCCCGATGCAGATCGGCTCGTGACGGTGTGTGGGACAGTGGTGCGGGTGGGGCCGCTGCGCCCTCTAGTGGTGGCGCTGGACTTCACGTGCACCCGCTGTGGCGCCGTCTCGTCCCTCTCCTTCCCTGACGGCCGTTTCACCCAGCCTGCGGCCTGTGGCCACGACAACTGCCGAAACCGCACTTTCTTGCAGAACCGGGCAGGTGCCCGGAAAATAAACTTCCAGACGATCCGGTGAGTAGGGCGTTTGCCAAATACCATTGCCACTGTCGCCTGACCATTTCACTCCTGATGGGCCATGGCACATGGACATGGGGCGCATGCTGCGGGTGGTGGAATGCGAGTTGAGGGAGGACCTGGCGGATGCGAGCAAGCTTTAGCCCGTGTGCATGTCTGCCTGTCCCTGTCTGCCTGTCTCTTGTTAATCCCTCTCCTGCCCCTCATTTCCCACCTCAGTATCCAGGAGCTGACAGGGGCACGGAAGGCGAGGACATGGGGTGCATGCCTCGGGTAGTGGACTGCGAGCTGAGGGAGGACCTCCAGTTAGCTGCGTGCTGTGGCTGGCTCGCATGCATTACCCCAGCTCTAACCTCCACCCCCTCCCCACATTCCCTCCATCTCAGTCTCCAGGAGCTGACCGGCGGGACAGGGGGTGAGGACATGGGGCGTATGCCACGGGTGGTGGACTGCGAGTTGAGGGAGGACCTGGCGGATGCGTGCCTGCCGGGGGATATGGTGGCGGTGTGCGGCATTGTCAAGATCATCAACAACGAGACAGACGTGGGGGGAGGTGAGGGGATAGAGATCAAGTGAGCGATTGGGCGTGAGGCGGGGCAAGGGGGATGGGAATTGTGGATTCGGTTAGGACATGGGGGTGTGCGGAGTGCATGTGGATATGCTAGTGAAATGGAAAGCCAAATGCTTTGCTCTAGAGCATGGGCGCACACACGCACATACATGTTCATCCATGTGTCCCCTCCCCCTCGTGAATGGCAGGTCGGTCCAAGAAGCGAGAGCAGTGTCTGTTCCAGCTCTACATAGACGCCATCTCCGTTGTCAACGCCAAATCCCAGTCCACCACACCAAGCCCCACCCTGACAGCCGCAGCAGGAGAAGGAGCAGCAGCCACCCCTGCCATGCCTGCTCACCAGCCTCCGGCCTGTGCTGGTGGTGCGAGTGGGGGGGCAGTGGAGATGGGGGAGGAGGACATGCGGCGCATGCTGGAGTATGTGGTGGAGCGCGAGGAAGAGGGTGACCTGTTTCAGCACATCGTGCACTCGTTTTGCCCGTCCATCTACGGCCATGTGCTCGTCAAAGGTGCCTCAGTCGAACCTGTCACTCTAGTCTGTCACCCTTGTTTTGCCACATTGTTAGCTGTTCCTTCCTCCTCCTTTTCTTCCCGTGCCGTCCAGTCATGCCTGCTTCCATCTCTGCTGCACCTCTGAAACCGGCCAGCCAGCCTTCACTCCCCAACCATTGCTCTCCACAAAACGTTTTCCTCCTCCCCCTCCCACGTGCAGCGGGCATCATTCTGTCCCTCTTTGGCGGGGTGCGCAAGCACGAGGGGGACGCCAACCGCGTGCCAGTCAGGGGAGACGTGCACGCGTTGCTTGTGGGTATGTTCTTACAAGGGATATGAGCACACCGTAGTGAATACTGAGCCCCCTTTTTTTTTAGATATAGAAGTCTTGGGCAGCTGCTTCTAGAGGCTATGAGATAAGTACTTATGAAGGATATCAATAATATTCTCTTGGTAAATACGTGCTGCTAGTGTATTGATAGTCTCCCCTTGCCCTCTCTTCCTACCACCCACCTCCTTCACATGCAGTCCGTGTACGATGCGCCTGCTGGTAAAAGCAACTTCTGACTGACCCAAAACACTTCTTCCCTTTGTGCCGTTTCACCTCATCCCCCAACCGAACAGGCGACCCTGGCATGGGCAAGAGCCAGCTGCTGAAGGCGGCTGCAGCAGTGGCACCCCGGGGGGTGTACGTGTGTGGCTCTGGCGCCTCCTCGGTGGGACTCACTGTGGCAGTTGTGAAGGATGGGCCCGGTGGGGAGTACGCGTTTGAAGCAGGTTCGTTATGGGGTAGGAAAGGAGGGAGTTCACGTTTGGAGAAGACTGATAAATGCCATGGGTGCAGGGCGGACGAGTGTTATGCCAAGCAGCACAGCGCAATGGCAAGGGAAGTGGGTGGGGGGATGGGGATGGCGGAGGGAAAGGGGGGGCGGAGGGGTGTACGTGTGTGGGTCTGGCGGCTCCTCTGAGGGGCTCACTGGCAGTTGTGAAGGATGGGCCAGGCGGGGAGTACGCGTTTGAAGCAGGTTCGTGATGGGGTAGGCAGGGGGTACGCTTCTGGGGATGGTTAATGAATGCCAAGGGTGTGGGGGCAAACGAGTGCTCGCCAAGCAGCGCAGTGCAACGACAAGGGAAGCGGGAGGAGGATGAGGATCGTGGGAGGCAAGGGGGGCGGAGGATGTACGTGTGTGGCTCGGGTACCTCCTCTGTGATTCTCACTGTGGCAGTTATTCCAAGCCCAACCGCACCCCGGCCCAACCGCTCCCCCGGCCCAACCGCTCCCCGGCCCAACCGCTCCCCCGGCCCAACCGCTCCCCGGCCCAACCGCTCCCCCGCCCAACCGCTCCCCGGCCCAACCACCACCTCCCCGGCCCAAGCGTCCCCCGGCCCAACCGCTCCCTGGCCCAACCGCCTCCCGGCCCATCCGTTCCCCGGCCCAACCGCTCCCCGGCCCAACCGCTCCCCGGCCCAACCGCTCCCCGGCCCAACCGCTCCCCGGCCCAACCGCTCCCGGGCCCATCCGCGCCCTGACCCAACAGCTCCCCGGCTCAACTGCTCCCTTGCCCAACCGCTCCCTCCCTGGCCCAACCGCTCCTTGGCACAACCGCTCCCTGGCACAACCGCTCGCCGGCCCAACCGCTCCCCGGCCCAACCGCTCCCCGGCTCAACCGCCCCCCGGCCCAACCGCCCCCCGGCCCAACCGCTCCCGGGCCCAACCGCCCCCCGGTCCAACCGCTCCCCGGTATCAAAAACTGAGAACTTGATTGATTGAAATGAGCAAGAGCATACATCCTTAAGTACCGAGCATCGGAGAGGATGGGAAGGGATAAGGGAGAATCGGAGGGAATCCCAAGGGAATCCTCCCAAATCGTGGGGATTTGGGATGGATTGGGTTGGGATAGGTTGGGGATGAAAACATAGCTACACCCAACCTAACAAATATGAGTATCCCTAAAACCAACAAAGTGTCAACACACAAAATTGTGCCAACCGAATTGCAGCCTATCTCTAACACACCCCCTAGGCTGCAACGTCGGAAGCCGTAGGGACGCCAAGTCCCATGGTACGGAGGAGACGATAGTGATCACGGCGTCCAAGAGCCTTCGTAAACAAGTCGGCGAGGTTGCAGTCAGAGGAAATGTGCTTGACGCACAACTGCCCTCGCTGGACGAGCTCGCGCATGAAGAAGTGTCTCAATTCGATGTGCTTGGTTCGTTGGTGGAAGACAGGATCTTTGGTGAGGTGGATAGTGCTCTCGTTATCACACCACAGAGTCGGGGTCTGCTGAGGATACCCGAGCTCAGCCATGAGGTAGGTAAGCCATCGAGCTTCTTGGGCTGCCATGGTGCCTGCGTATAACTCAGCTTCGCAAGATGACAATGAGACGGATGATGAGCGTGTAGATCGCCAGCTGATGACACCACTGCCAAGGGTGAAGCAATAGCCTTGGGAAGAGCGGCGGCCAGCTTGATCATCAGCCCATGAGGAGTCGCTGTATCCCTCGAGGTGAGGAGGGGTCGTGCCACCGAGAGTGAGGACGTAGTCCTTGGTGGCTTGGAGGTAGCGAAGGACGCGCTTAGCAGCCGACCAGTGGCGATTGGTGTATCGACCGGCAGCAACGTAACGCGAGAGCACACTGATGGGGTAGGCGAGGTCGGGCCTTGTGCACATCATCGCATACATGAGTGATCCGACGAGCTCGGGGTATGCCTCATCACAAGGCTCAGGCGATGGAACTGATGGAGTGGTCAGATCATGCTGCAAGGGAAGGGGAGTGGCCACTGGCTTGGCGTTGTCCATGGCAAAACGCTTGAGGACGTTGTTCACATAGAACTCTTGAGAGAGAGTGATGGTTCGAGCTTCGCGATCCCGCGAGATTTCCATCCCAAGGTAGATCTTGAGTTCACCGAGGTCCTTCATGGCGAGAGCGTCCCCAAGAGCTTGCTTAACAGCTGCCAGCTGATCGGAGTCCTTGGAGACGAGAATCATGTCGTCAACGTAGACAAGGATGAAGAACGGGTTGTCGTTCTTGCGAATGAAGAGACTCGGATCGGCTGAGGAGGGGTGGAAGTCGAGTGACTCGAGGGTTGCCTTCAGCTTCTTGTGCCATTCCCGAGGAGCCTGCTTCAACCCGTAGACTGGTCGATTCAGCTTCCAGACCGTGCCGGGTGGAAAGGGTAAGGGAAATCCTTGAGGACGTTCCATGTAGATGTCCTCGGGGAGATCCCCTTGGAGAAATGCAGCAGAGACGTCCATGGAGTGAACGTCAAAGTTGCATCGAGCAGCGATGTCCAGCAGGGTCCGAAGTGTGGGCAGTTTGGCTGTCGGAGAGAATGTGTCGAAGAAGTCCAGGCCCTTCTTCTGCGTGAAGCCTTTTGCACAGTATCGCGCCTTGAAGACTGGGAGTTCGCCAGGCAGCTGCTTGACGCGGAAAACCCATTTGCCACGGACAATGTTAACTCCTCGCGGAGGAGAGACGTCCGTGAAAGAGTTGTTGCGAATGAATGCTTCACACTCCGCGATCATGGCTGCGAGCCACTGGGGGGAGTGTGGTCCAGAGATGGCTTCATCATATGAGTTCGGGGTCGGGATGGATGGATTTTCCGAGAAGTTAAGAGTTGGAGCGTCGGCAAGGTCGGGGAAGAGATGGCAGAGCTGACGGATGGCAGCATTGATCTCAATCAGCTCCTCATGCCTATCCTCCAAGAGGCCAGGCATGGATGCACCCCCGGCAGGAGGAGGCGGATTGAGGGAGATGCGAACAGAGAGGGCGAGAGGCGGAGCGGGACCATGAGAGCGGGTGCGGTGAGCAATAGGGACAGGAGAGGAGGGAGGTGGCGGGGGAGCAGGTGGGACATCGACATAAGAGCGTCCGTGGCGACGGCGACGATAGGTGATGGGCGAGTCGGGAGGAGAGGTGGAGGTTGGAGGCGGAAGCGGAGGTGAAGGCGGGGAGGGAGGCGCGGGGGCAGGGGGAGCCACAGAAGGAGAGGGAGGTGGAGGGGCAGCTGCAGGAGCGGGTGCAGGGGGAAGTGCAGGCGCGGGCGGAGGTGAACGGGCAACTGAGCCAGTGGGCGAAGAGGGGTGAGAGAGAGTGGAAGGAGATGGGGAAGGTGAGAGTGAGGGGGCCGCAGGAGCGGCAGAGGGAGGAGGTGGGGTGGGTGAAGTATCGAAATCGGCCCACACAAGCGAAGGTGGAGCGGTGGGGGGTGGTGAAGAGAGGTAAAAAGGGCGACTCTCGTCAAAGGCGACATCGCGGCTACGAATGAGCTGATTGGTGGAGAGATTGAGGAAAAGGTAATCGGGAGAGTCCAGGTTGTGGCCGAGGTAGACACAGGGTTGAGCTTTGGGTGCAAATTTGCCGCCGTGGGTGCGACGGTCCTGAGGGTTGAGGAGGACATAAGCTGTACACCCCCATACGCGGAGAGGACGTGCACTGGGCTTGGTGCCGGTCCACAGTTCAGCGGGAGTGATGGCAGGCCGAAGAGGGTGAGGGTGAAGGTTGTACAGCAGCGTGGCATGAAGGAGGGCGTAACCCCAAAGGGAAGGTGGTGCACCAGCGTGAGTGAGAAGACAGCGAGCGATTTGCACGAGAGTGCGATTGCGACTTTCGGCAATGCCATTCTGCTGCGGACTGTGGGGAAGGGTGAAGGTCTGGCGAATGCCTTGGGAGGCACAGAACGCTTGAAGGGAATGGTTTCGAAATTCGCCACCGCCATCGGAATGGAGGCACTTGACTGAAGTGCGGAAATGATTTTGGGCTCGTCGAAGCCATGCGATGACGACATCTGGAACAGCTGCTTTGGAGGAGAGTAGGTGGACGGAGGCATAGCGAGAGTGATCGTCAACGAGCACTAGGAAGTAAGAGTGCCCGCCACGAGAGCGGACTGGAGCTGGGCCCCAGACGTCCATGTGGACGAGGTCAAGCGGGGCGGCTGCAGCAGAGGGCGAGGAAGGGTGAGGCAACTGGCGTAGTTTGCTTTGCGCGCAGTCCAAGCATGGAGGAGCGGGAGAAGTGGAGGGTGGAGGAAGTGTGTCGGGCAGGTGAAGAAGCAACTTCTTAGACGCAAGCTCGGAGAGCATGCGGAAGTTGGGATGCCCAAGACGATGGTGGTAAAGAATGGTTGGATCGGTGAGCTGACGGCAGGAGCACGATGATGTGGTGGAGGTAGAGTGTGCTTCTGTGGAAGATGGAGGTACTTGGAGTGTGTAGAGGTTGTTGGCGGTCAGTGTGAAGCGTGCAAGTAGGGCATTGGTGGTGGGCTGAAGGAGATCACAGTGATTGGAATGAGCTGGGAAGATAGTGGTTACCCCTGCTCGTTGAATCTCATGTTGTGCAAGTAAGTTGTGCCGAAGAGTGGGCACGCATATGCCAGTGACTGTGCCAGATGGGAAGGCTGGGCATGGAAGAGTGGAGGAACCATGGGCGACAGTTGTGAAGCTGGAGTCAGCGCCCAGAAGAGGAATGGGTGCTTGGTATGGTTTGAAAGACTCTTTGTCTCGGAGGACTGTGTGGGTTGCGCCACTGTCCAGGACGAATTCAAGCGGTTTAGATGGTGTTTGTGGAGACGTCGAGTACTGGGAACTGGTTTCATTGATCATGGGAAGGCCAGGGAACAACAGGTTGAGACGAACATCAGGACTAGGGGCATGAACGGCTGAGTCCTGACTATCCTGTGCCTCAACCTGGTTGAGCTGGCGCATGCGAAGCCAGTTGGGCGGCTTGGAGTTGATACCATTCTTGGCGAACCAGTCGTCGTCCTTCTTTTTGAAACAGGTGGCGAGCGGGTGATTGGTGCCGCCGCACACCTGACCCGCACGGGGTCCCATTTTGATGACGTAAGGACAGGGTGGGTAGCGGTTACGAGTGGGTGGCGGATTGGGACGCGATGCTGGAGCCGGGACAGGAGCGCGAAGCGCATTTGCACGAGCCTGCGCAGTGTTGTCTTTTTCAGCAGAGAGAAGTGCGGAAGAGACTTTGGCAAAGGTTAGCTCTTCTGGCGGGAGATGGAGAAGCATGGAGCGGGTGACATTGTAAGAGGGGGTCAGCCCAACAAGCAGAGCTGCTGCAGGGGCTTGCTCTGGGAAGACAATGCCGAGTTGCTTCAGCTCCTGATGAATCCCTTGAATTTCAGCGACGTAATCTGCCATTCCAGGGCACTCCTCCAGACGCACTTGAAACATGCGGGGGATGAGGATCGCCACCCCCACAGCGGTTTTGTTGAGGAAGCGGTCGTTGAGGTACTCCCAGATGGCGTGCGCGGAGGGGTAGTTATGGTAAGTTTTGACGAGCTCGGAAGGGGTAGTGCCGACGAAGACGCCAATGATAACGGCGTCGGCTTGCTCCCACACGCTGTAAGATTCCTCATACTTGGACATGGATTCCTCATGGGTTTTTAACTCTTCCCCTGTGGCTGTGGCCGAGAGCTTCTTGGGAAGGATCGGCATCTTTCCTTTGCCGCGATTGAGGAGGACATCCTTGAGGCAAATCCCCTCAATTTTGCGGCTTAGGAGATGCTTATCAACCCCATAGCTCCACTCCTTGAAGTTCGGGCTCGAGCCATTTGGGTCGAGGCGCAAGGGAGTGATCGGGTTTGAGAGAGACGCGGAAGGATACGCCATGATGCTCCAAGGACCCTTTCTCCGCGCGTAGCGCAGCTCTTAAGTCGCCGATAGGCACTTCGGCGAAAAACAGGGTTTCCCTTTGCGGATTTTCAACACTCGGAGAAGAGGAATAGCCGATAAAGAGGGAAATCTGAACGCCAGAAATCTATGGAAACCCGCGATGTGCTGCTGCAATCCCGCTGCTCCGCGACCCCCCCTTTTCCGCTTCGCCGCTGCCCCCTTTCCGCTTCGCCGCTGCCCCCTTTCCGCTTCGCCGCTGCACCCCCCCGCTGTTGCAAGGGCGACGGGCGACAGCCCGTCCAGCTTCGACGAGCAGATGCGGGGCGACGGGCTCAGCCCGATCAGGTGCGACGAGCAGATGCAGGGCGACGGTCTCAGCCCGATCAGGTGCGACGAGCAGATGCGGGGCGACGGGCTCAGCCCGATCAGGTGCGACGAGCAGATGCGGGGCGACGGGCTCAGCCCGATCAGGTGCGACGAGCAGATGCGGGGCGACGGGCTCAGCCCGATCAGGTGCGACGAGCAGATGCGGGGCGACGGGCTCAGCCCGATCAGGTGCGACGAGCAGATGCGGGGCGACGGGCGTCAGCCCGAAAAGAAGCGCCGCGCTGAGTTGAGGCGACTAGAAAAGCTTTGCGTCGTAAGACGCAAATGCTAGGCTCCAACGGAGCGAGAGGATCAAGAGCCGCTTAGGCGGAAACGAGCTCTGATACCATATCAGAAACTGAGAACTTGATTGATTGAAATGAGCAAGAGCATACATCCTTAAGTACCGAGCATCGGAGAGGATGGGAAGGGATAAGGGAGAATCGGAGGGAATCCCAAGGGAATCCTCCCAAATCGTGGGGATTTGGGATGGATTGGGTTGGGATAGGTTGGGGATGAAAACATAGCTACACCCAACCTAACAAATATGAGTATCCCTAAAACCAACAAAGTGTCAACACACAAAATTGTGCCAACCGAATTGCAGCCTATCTCTAACACCCGGCCCAACCGCCCCCCGGCCCAACCGCTCCCCGGCCCAACCGCCCCCCGGTCCAACCGCTCCCCGGCCCAACCGCCCCCCGGCCCAACCTCTCCCCCCCTATCCACTCCCCGGCCCAACCGCTCCCCGGCCAAACCGCTCCCTCCCTGGCCCAACCGCCCCCTGGCCCAACCGCTCCCCTGCCCAACCTCTCCCCGGCCCAACCGCTCCCCGGCCCAACCGCCCCCCAGCCCAACCGCTCCCCGGCCCAACCGCCCTCCGGCCCAACCGCCCTCCGGCCCAACCGCTCCCCAGCCCATCCGCTCCCCGGCCCAACCACTCCCCAGACCAACCGCTCCCTGGCCCAACTGCCCCCCGACCCAATTGCTCCCCAGCCCAACCGCTCCCCGGCCCAACCGCCCTAAGGCCCAACCACTCCCCGGTCCAATTGCTCCCCGGCCCAACCGCTCCCCGGCCCAGCCGCTCCCCGGCCCAACCGCCCCCAGGCCGAACCACTCCCCGGCCCAATTGCTCCCGGCCCAACCGCTCCCCGGCCCAGACGCTCCTCAGCCCAACCACTCCCTGGCCCAACCACTCCCTGGCCCAAAATGTTTTTTACTAGTCATCGGCAAGAAGGTAAAGGTGCCAATGAAGGTGGGTGGGGCATTCGACAAGTCCCTGCACCTGTGAGCGAGCAGGGGTAACGGTGATGGCAGACAACGGCACGTGCTCGATTGATGCATTTGGCCTTTTTTCGGCGCCCCATTGCCCCAAAAATAGATTCCCTCTCTCCCGTTCCTTCATCGTCAGGGGGAACGGTGATGGCGGACCAAAGCACGTGCTGCATTGATGTGCTGAAGTATGTGATGCGCCTCTAAGCCCCCCTCCCCCCCCGCTCTCTCTCCTCCTCTCCCGCTGCTTCAAACGCAGGGGCGATGGTGATGGCGGACCAAGGCACGTGCTGCATTGACGAATTCGATAAGATGGGCAACGAACAACAGGTGCGTGCGGTATGAGGTGCGTGGTGGCATGGTAAGTGGGTTTGGCTGCATGCCAAGGGGGATTGGTTGCACGATAAGTGGGGTTGGCTGCATGCTGAAGGGGATTGGTTGCATGTTAGGTAGACGGGGTCAACCTAACTCGGGTTAGCTGCAAGCTACTGGGGGTTGGTTGCATGTGTTGGTGGGGCACTGGGATCGTCCTACTTGAGTGTGGGAGGGCTACAGGTCCGTCCTAGGGGGTAATGGGTGCGCTACCCACCACAAAAACATGCCCTTTTAACAGCGGGCTGGGCCAACAGCATGGTAAGGGGGCGTACTTTTCCGTCCTACTTTTCCGTCGTACTTATCTGTCCTACTTTCCCGTCGTACTTTTCCGTCGTACTTTCCTGTTGTACTTTTCCCGTCGTACTTTCCCGTCCGGATGTCAGGGTTATATGGGCGTGCGATATGAGCGCATGCGATATGTGGGCATGGGATATGTGGGCGTGGGATATGTGGGCATGGGATATGTGAGCATCGGACATGTGGGCATGAGATATGTGGGCATGGGATATGTGCTGCTGGCAGGTGCTGGCAGGTGCTGGCAGGTGCTGGCCGGTGCTGGCAGCAGCTGGCCGGTGCTGGCCGGTGCTGGCAGTTGCTGGCAGGTGCTGGCAGGTGCTGACCGTTGCTGGCAGCTGCTGGCTGGTGATGGCAGGTGCTGGCAGGTGCTGGCCGGTGCTGGCAGGTGCTGGCAGGTGCTGGCAGGTGCTGGCAGGTGCTGGCAGGTGCTGGCAGGTGCTGGCAGATGCTGGCAGGTGTTGGCCGGTGCTGATAGGTGCTGGCAGGTGCTGGCCGGTGCTGGCAAGTGCTGGCTGGTGCTGGCAGGTGCTGGCCGGTGCTGGAAGGTGCTGGCAGGTGCTGGCAGGTGCTGGCAGGTGCTGGCAGGTGCTGGCAGGTGCTGGCCGCTGCTGGCAGGTGCTGGCCAGTGCTGGCAGGTGCTGGCAGGTGCTGGCAGGCGCTGGCAGATGCTGGCAGGTGTTGGCCGGTGCTGATAGGTGCTGGCAGGTGCTGGCCGGTGCTGGCAAGTGCTGGCTGGTGCTGGCTGGTGCTGGCAGGTGCTGGCAGGTGCTGGCAGCAGCTGGCAGGTGCTGGCAGGTGCTGGCAGGTGCTGGTAGGTGCCGACAGGTGCTGGCCGGTGCTGGCCGGTGCTGGCAGGTGCTGGTAGGTGCTGGCAGGTGCTGGCAGGTGCTGGCAGGTGCCCTTCTTTCCCGTCGTATTTTTCCGTCCTATTTTCCCATGGTGCTTTTCCCGTCGTACTTTCCCGTCGTACTTTCCCGTCGTACTTGTCCATCGTACTTTGGTGGGTGAATGCATGCGGACCGCTGGCCACTTTGTCCGCATGCAGGCCGCCCAGCCCTCGGTGGGTGGATGCATGCAGCCCACCGGCCCCTCGGTGGGTGGATGCATACGCACTGCATGCATGCAGGTGTTGGGCACTACCGTGGTGCCTGGCGCTATCGTGGTGCTTGGCGCTATCGTGGTTCTGGGCGCTTGGGTGGTGCTGGGCACTACCGCGTGGTACTGGGCACTATCATGGTGCTGGGCACTACCGCGTAGTGCTGGGCACTTGGGTGGCGCTGGGCACTATCGTGGTGCTGGGCGCTTGGGTGGTGCTGGGCTCTTGGGTGGTGCTGCCCCTTCCCCACCCGTTTTCTCCCTCTGACCAGGCCCTACTGGAGGCCATGCAGCAGCAGAGCGTGAGTGTGGCAAGGGGAGGCCTTTGTACATATCCTGTCTCTCTGCATTGCTTATCTTCCCCCGCCCTTTTTCACTCGCCAGGCCCTACTGGAGGCCATGGAGCAGCAGAGCGTGAGTGTGGCCAAGGCGGGTCTCCTCGCCAATTTCAGTGCAAGAACGGCGGTGCTGGCTGCTGCCAACCCCGTTGGGGGACACTACAAGTGAGTTAGTGGACACTACAAGTGAGTGATTGGACGCTACAAGTGAGTGAGTAGACGCTAAAAGTGAGTAAGTGGACGCTACAAGTGAGTGAGTGGACACTACAAGTGAGTGAGTGGACGCTACAAGTGAGTGAGTGGACACTACAAGTGAGTGAGTGGACACTACAAGTGAGTGAGTGGACGCTACAAGTGATTGAGTGGACACTACAAGTGAGTGAGTGGACGCTACAAGTGAGTGAGTGTTCTCTACAAGTGAGTGAGTGGACACTACAAGAGAGTGAGTGGACACTACAAGAGAGTGAGTGGACACTACAAGAGAGTGAGTGGACACTACAAGAGAGTGAGTGGACGCTACAAGTGAGTGAGTGGACGCTACAAGTGAGTGACTGGACGCTACAAGTGAGTGAGTAAGTGAAGGAGAACACTGGGATCATCGAGTTCGTGTCTTCTCGCCAACTTCAGTGCCTGTACGGCAGTGCTGGCTACTTCACAACCCTATTGGGGGGCGCTACAATTGAGGGCCCAGGACAAAGGAAGCAGGGCTTAAGCCTTTTATTTTGCCTGGAAATGGTTTTCTATTCTATGGCTCCATAATTCTTTCTTGTCATTTTCAAAATCTCTTTCCTTCCTTTCCCTTTCTCTCCTGGCGTCCTTCCTTCAGGCCTTCCTCTCCCCTCACCGCCCCGCTACTTCCTCCCCCCACCCCCCGTTTCCTTCCTCGCCCCTCCTGTCCCCTATTGTCTCCTCCCATCCCCTCCCATCTTTCTCGCATCCCCTCCCACACCAGTCGAGCACGCACACTGAACGAGAATCTGAAGCTGTCTGCCGCCCTGCTGTCGAGATTTGATCTCATCTTCATCCTCCTCGACCGGCCAGACCACCACACGGACCAACGGCTGTCAGAGCATGTGCTGCAGGTGAGAGGGTGAATGTGCTGCAGGTGAGAGGGTGAATGTGCTGCAGGTGAGAGGGTGCTGCAGGTGAGAGGGTGCTGCAGGTGAGTGGGTGCTGCAGGTGAGTGGGTGCTGCAGGTGAGAGGGTGCTGCAGGTGAGAGGGTGCTGCAGGTGAGAGGGTGCTGCAGGTGAGAGGGTGCTACAGGTGAGAGGGTGCTGCAGGTGAGAGGGTGCTGCAGGTGAGTGGGTGCTGCAGGTGAGAGGGTGCTGCAGGTGAGAGGGTGCTGCAGGTGAGAGGGTGCTGCAGGTGAGAGGGTGCTGCAGGTGAGAGGGTGCTGCAGGTGAGAGGGTGCTGCAGGTGAGAGGGTGCTACAGGTGAGAGGGTGCTGCAGGTGAGAGGGTGCTGCAGGTGAGAGGGTGCTGCAGGTGAGAGGGTGCTGCAGGTGAGAGGGTGCTGCAGGTGAGAGGGTGCTGCAGGTGAGAGGGTGCTGCAGGTGAGAGGGTGCTGCAGGTGAGAGGGTGCTGCAGGTGAGAGGGTGCTGCAGGTGAGAGGGTGCTGCAGGTGAGAGGGTGCTGCAGGTGAGAGGGTGCTGCAGGTGAGAGGGTGCTGCAGGTGAGAGGGTGCTGCAGGTGAGAGGGTGCTGCAGGTGAGAGGGTGAATGTGGTGCAGGTGAGGGGGGTGGATGTGAGGGTGGAGAGATTATGTGCGTCACTTGAGTGTTAGAGAGGAGCTTTTCACTTTACCGTGTTCCATTCTTCTTCGTAGGTGACTTTTGAGTCGACTCAAAAATCACCTGAAGAGCTTTTCAGTTTACCGGGTTCCTTTCTTCTCTGTGTTGCCGTGATGTGCCACAGATGCATGCCGGCATGCCTTCTCGCTCCAAGGCATCCAAGCGCAGCTGTAAGTTGTGCCCCATTGCCTCCCGCTCTGCTTTTGAGTCGACTCAAATCACACTGCCTGCCACGCTGCCTGCCACACTGCCTGCCACACTGCCTGCCACTCTGCAATGCAATCAGGCTGGCCTCGTGCCACGCCTGTCTCTTTGGTGACTTTTGAGTCGCCTCGTGCCATTGTCTTTGGTGACCTTTGAGTCACATCGCGCCATTCTCTTTGGTCTTCTCTTCGTTTTTGGTCTCCTCTCTGTTGCCTTGTCTACTCGTACCGTCACCTCGCCTCGTCTCGTCTTATCAGTCAGACCATCTCTTCCACACCGCTTATCTTATGGATAAATAACCTTTACATCTCAAAATACCTATTAACGTCGCCCCCTCTCATCCCATCCCATCCCATCCCATCCCATCCCATCCCATCCCATCAGACCATATCTTCCTGACCGCCCCTTCAGCCACGGACAACGACGCGCCTCAACTCGACCTCCCTCTCTCACACCGCCTGCGCCTGCGCTCCTCTGCTGCCCGCGACTTCTCCCCCCTCCCCCCTGCTCGCCTGCGCCAGTACATTGCCTATGCTCGCACACACGTGCACCCACGGTATGTGGCCTGTAGTGTTTAGATTCTGCTTTTGAGTTGACTCAAAAGCCTGTAGTGTTTACAGGCGTCGCACAGTGTGAAAAAATTCACACTCTCGTCTGATTTTCCACTCTTCTCCCCTCTCTCCCCCCTGCTCGCCTCTGCCAGTACATTGCCTATGCTCGCACGCACGTGCACCCCAGGTGCGTCCCACCCCTGGTGCTTGAGCCTTCTCCCCTCTCTTCCCTGTTTGCCTGCGCTCCTCTTCTCCCCCCTCCCCCCCTGCTGGGCTGCACTGCACCAGTACATTGCCTATGCGCGCACGCACGTGCACCCACGGGCCACGGTGCGTCTTCATTAGCTGTGCGCCTCCCCTGTAGTGTCTTGAGATGACCCAATCCCACTGCCGCCCACTGCAATCCCACTGCCGCCCACTGCAATCCCACTGCCGCCCACTGCAATCCCACTCCCGACCACTGCAATCCCACTGCCGCCCACTCCTATCCCACTGCCACCCAATGCCATCTAATTCCGCCCATATTGTCGACCACTGCACAGGCTGACAGACGGGGCTGGGGTGGCGATAGAGGGGCTCTACCCGAGGCCGAGGAAGCACAGCATAGCCAAACCCCAAGCCACCCTCCTTGCCTCCTCTTGCCACCCACTTCCGTGTGCTCCACTCCCGTGCCACAATTGCTCTTGTGCACTGCTCTCTTTTGCAGGCTGTCAGAGGAGGCGCGTGCAGTGATCAATTCTACCAGCGCCTGCAAGCGCACAGCAGAGGCAAACCCCAAGTCTGTTGGGGGAGGGACTGCCAAGGCTGTCGGGGAAGGGACAGCAGTGCCAAACCCCAAGGCTGCCACATAATGGCCGCCCGCCCGTCCTCTCCTCCTCCCCCCCACCCCCCAGGCTGTCAGAGGAGGCACGGGCAGTGATCAAGGCGTTCTACCTGCGCCTGAGGGAGCAAAGCAGAGCCATGGATGGCCCGCCAATCGCACTGTCTTACTCGGCCTTGTGACTCACACTCCTCTTCACAGGCTGTCAGAAGAGGCACGTGCGGTGATCAAGGCGTTCTACCTCCGCCTGAGGGAGCACAGCAGAGCCATGGACGGCCCGCCAATCACAGCGCGCCAGCTGGAGAGCCTCGTGCGGCTCGCCGAGGCTCGAGCCCGGGTGGAGCTGCGGGAGGAAGTTACCGAGGCAGATGCCCAGGTATGGGCTGATTTTGGTGTTTTGCGGCATGCTGTGCTCCAGTGCTCCGAGCTCCAGTGCTGCAGCGCACCAGTGTGCACCAGTGCACCTTTGCACCAGTGCACCGGCCAGCACCGTCCAGAAACCTCCAGCACCGCCCAGCACCACCAGTACCAACCAGCACCCCCCAGCAATCTCCAGCACCCACCAGCACCCCCTTGGACCCGCGACAACACCTATCACCCCCCAGACCACTAGCGAACCCCAGAAACCCCCAGCACCCCCCCGCACCGCCCAGCACTGCCCAGCACCCCCCAGCACCCCGCACCATCCCGCGACACCCCCCAGCACCCATCTCCCGTCGCCTCATATCCCCCGTCTCCTGATTTCCCTCGTCACCAGTGCATCCCCCTGAACCCCTCACACCCTTGCACCCCCTGAACCCCTCAGTCCCTTGGATTCCCCTGAACCCCTCACACCCTTGCACCCCCCTGAACCCCTCAGTCCCTTGGATTCCCCTGAACCCCTCACACCCTTACACCCTACCCGCCCCACTCCTTCTCCTCCCCCAGGAGGCGGTGGAGCTGATGGGCGAGTGTGTGCTGGGGGCAACATAGTACCATCTCTCATATCCCTTTTCATCACACCACGCCCCTCCACCCCTCACATTCTACCCCATACTTCACACCCTACTCCTCCCCCCCATAACCCCTGAGGAGGCGGTGGAGCTGATGGGCGATTGTCTGCTGGACAAGCTCACAGAGGAAAGCGGCAGCATGGAAGCCATTCCTCATATTCCTGAACCAAAACGACCCCTCATTACCCCTCTCCACCCCTCTCCACCCCCATGACATTCCACCACGTCCTTGCCACTTTCCCCTCCAGGAGGCAGTGGGGCTGATGGGCGAGTGTCTGCTGGACAAGCTCATGGACGAGGGGGGGGAAGATAGTGACATCCCTCTTATCCGTTAACCACACACAACCCATCTCCACCCTCCCCCATTCCCCCCATGCATCCTTCCAGGAGGCAGTGGAGCTGATGGGCGAGTGTCTTCTGGACAAGCTCACAGACGAGGCGGGCAACATAGACGCAGGGCGGGGCGGCAGCTCGAGCAAGTCCAAGGAATCAAAACGGTTCCTCGCCGCCCTGCAGCGCACGGCCAAGCAGGCCATCAAGACGTGCTTCTCCAGAAAGGTGCGTCTGCCTGCCACGTGTTAGGGAAACAGATGTTTTTGAGTTCCCCCAAGACTGAAGAGTCCGAGCGCATCCCCGCCGCCCTTCAGGCTGCAGCGCACGGCCAAGCTGGCCATCAGAACGTGCTTCACTAGAAAGGTGCGTTGCAGAACCCTTGACATGCCTCTAGCACAAGCAGAAGCACAAGCAAAAGCACAAGCAGAAGCACAAGCCGAAGCACAAGCGGAAGCACAAGCGGAAGCACAAGCGGAAGCACAAGCGGAAGCACAAGCGGAAGCACAAGCCGAAGCACAAGCAGAAGCACAAGCAGAAGCACAAGCAGAAGCAGGCCATCACGTGCTTTTCCAGAGAGGTGTGGTACAGAGCAGTCCTTTCCCTACGTCATGTCTTACACTTTCCTTCCGTACCTAATTGCTCTGATCCCTCTTGTGCCTGCCAGGAGCTGGCCCAGCTGGCAGACGACATGTGTCTGCGGGTGCCGGACTTGGATGGGCTCATTTTCTCTTCACGTGCCTCAACAACCTGTTCCGATTCTCTCTGTGTTCCGATTCTCCCCGTCTTCCGATTCTCTCTGTGTTCCGATTCTCCCTGTCTTCCGATTCTCTCTGTGATCCTTCTTGTGCCTGTCAGGAGCTGGCCCAGCTGGCGGACGACATGTGTCTGCGGGTGCCGGACCTCGATGGGCTCATCGACAGCCTCAATGAGGCGGGCTTCCTCCTCAAGAAGGGCGGAGGGCTCTTCCAGGTGCGATGAGTCGCTTGCACAATGTAGTCTTCCAGGTGCGATCAGACACTTGCACTCCCCTATATCCCTATCCCCCATGCCCCCCCATCCCTATCCCCTATATCCTTATCCCCCATATCCCCTCTATCCCTATCCTCCAATTCCCTATCCACTCAATTTATATTTCCCTCAATCGCCTCTATCGCTGCTGCATGCTGCATGCACGCCAAACGAGCGGGTTTTCACTGGTTTGCCCCCACCGTGAGTGGTTTTCCACTGGTTTCCCACCACCTTGAGTGGTTTTGCACTGGTTTGCCGACACCTTGAGTGGTTTTCCAATGGTTTGCCACCACCTTGTGTATTTTTCCACTGGTTTGACACCACAGTGAGTGGTTTTCCACTGGTTTACCACCACCTTGAGTGATATTCCACTGGTTTGCCACCACCTCGAGTGGTTTTCCACTGGTTTGCCACCACCTTGAGTGTTTTTCCACTGGTTTGCCACCACCTCGAGTGGTTTTCCACTGGTTTGCCACCACCTTGAGTGTTTTTTCGATGGTTTGCCACCATCTTGAGTGGTTTCCCACACTTTGCCACCACCTTGAGTTGATTTCATGGAAGTTGCACTATACGCAAAAGATGGGGAGCGTATAGCGTATGGGTTGCACCATATGCTCGGCCAAAATTTCAAGGGCAGCCTGGCAAAAAAATATGGATTTTTTATCTCGTCAATTCGCGGATAGGCGAAACCAAACAGGGTGTCGCGAACTTGCGACACACCAAATTTTGAGGAGATCGCGCGCTTTGTTGGAAATCGAGGAGGCCTCAAAACGGTCGACCCTTTTTGCTGCGCATGTATCTGCATGCCCCCATTACCCAAAACGGTCGACCCCTCCCTACTGTACCCATTTTGGTTTTGATTTGACGAAATGTGGAAATGAAATTCTGATCTGTTCTACAAACATCTGCCTCCGCCCAGTAAAATTTACGTGCGTGCATGCATTTAATGCGTCGCAACAAAAAAACTACCCCCTATTTACACATGGTGTCCACAAAATGCTCTGCCAGAGTCCGTCCAAATTGGGTCCCCCCTAATCGGTATTCCCGTCCACATACATCTAGCGTGGTTCGTAAACAGTATATTCGAATGTCGGGCTTCAAGTGTACAGATTTTTCGCGGGCCATGGTAGTACATTTGTCGCGACGCATTAAATGCGTGCACACGCGTAAATTGTACTGGGCGGAGGCAAATGTTTGTAGAACAAGCCAGAATTCATTTCCATTTTTCTTAAAATCAAAACCATAATGGGTACAGTAGGGGGGGGGGTCGACCATTTTGGGTAATGGGGGCGTGTCATACATGCACAGCAAAAAGGGTCGACCGATTTGAGGCCTCCTCGATTTCCGTCGAAGCGCGTGATTTCCTCCCAAATTTCGCAGCAACCCCAAGTTCCAACCTTTCGCCCCCCTCCACCGCACTGCACCCCAATGTCTCTACCCCACCCAACCACCCCTCCAAACTGCTCTCTTCCTCTCACAGCTATGTGCGCTAAACCTAGTTTAGTGCGCGTAGCGCAGCTTACCTTTACCATCCCCATTCCCCACGGGCTTATTTATTATGCCTAAGTCTATGTTTCCTGGTGGTTGTTGCAGTGGAACCGTTTGCTCCACATCCCCTTCTTCTCCCCCCCCTCCCCCTGGTGTTTTTGCCCCTGCCCGGAATATTCTTTGCCTGCCTGGACTAGCGTATACAAGGTCTCAATCCGAGTGTATTGCGTATACACGCCAGCGTATATACGCTGGCGTATATACCACCATACGCCCATGGTGCAACCAAGCCACCACCTTGAGTGGTTTTCCACTGGTTTTCCGCCACCTTGTTGTGTGCCCTTGGTTGTGTGTGTTGTGTGTGTATTGTGTAGTTGTGGCTCGCTTCGTTGTACCCCTCCCAACCAGCTTACCTGTCTGTTTCCCCACTCCCCTTCCCCGCCGCTTCAGCACACGGAAGCGGCAGCACATGCCGCCACTTCAAATATTTAACTCCCCTCCCAGTTTCCAGGGGCGTGCCAGTTGTGGGGGTCAGCTTGACCACTTCTGACCTGACTGCTACATTCTCGGGTGGTTGGTTGATCTGCTCAGTGGGACGGGACGTCCTGACGCTGGCTGTTCTCTGACTTGCTCCGTCTTCTGTGTTTCCAGGTGCAGACATGATGGGTGCTGTCTGAAGAAACTACCGCTGATTTGTACCTTACCGTATTCCCCCGGATAAAACACCCGCCGGAATTAATCACCCATGGGTGGTTTGGGCGGACCTGGGTGCTTAATTAAACTGGATATTCATACCACCCTAGTTTTTGGCATGAAACCTATACACCACCCCCCTGGTTCATTTTCAATGGAGTTCTGTAGATTTTGCCTCTTATCAGAGTGTCTCTTATCAGACTCGCGCGTCACTGAGCAGTGCAAGCTAGACGCGAAGTGGTTCAATGCGATGTAGAACTGTTACCATGCCTAGAATTCCTGAGTATCAGGCAAATGTTGCGAGCCTGATACTGTACGAGACTCATGGGAGGTTGCCACTTGCCACCACGATACTGTACGAGCCTGATTCCCGTCGAGGTTGCCACTTGCCACCACGATTTGACAGAATGTGACAATCTGTGACGCAGGCAACCTATGACTGTTTGCCTGCAACGTGGCATGACGATGGTCCTGTTAACGTAGAAACGAATGATTACTAGAGGTGGAAACCTAGAACAAATACTAGTTGGTTGTACTCACTAGAAGCATACCTCAGTCTAGCCTATAACTTCTACATAGATAATATGTATAAGTTGACACACCCCCTAGGCTAGACAAGGGGTGAAACTAAACAAGAAGCAAACAGCTCAGGGCGGCACTACTAGTCCAACCACTGAGGCAGGGGTCTGGAGACCAGTCAGCAAGAGTACAAACAAGACTAAAGCAAGCCAGGGCGGCACTTCTAGTCCAGCCACTGGAGGTAAGGCCACAAGGCCAGTCTGACAAGCATATATAATAGAGAGTACACAATCAGGATCCTAACAGGGGAGCAGCTATAGGAACAAGACCAAGCTGTACACAGTGCCGCTGATGATCTTTAGGCGCAAGCGCCTTAGTAAAGATATCAGCTGTGTTGGCACCTGAGGCCAAGTGAACTACGCGGGCCTGGCGGCGCTGCTGTAGCTCGCGCAGGAGGAAGTACCGCAGCTGGATATGCTTCGCTCTGCCCTCAAGCCGAGGCTCCTGACACAGGAGTATCATGGCCCTGTTGTCAGCGTACAGGACCGGGGCAGAGCTAGGCCGCTCACCTAAGTCTGTGAGCAAGAAGGTCAGCCAGCGGAGCTCCTGTGCCGCCATGGCACCAGCGTAGATCTCAGCCTCACAGCTAGACTGAGCCACAGACGACGAGCGAGTGGATCTCCAAGAGATAGCACCCGAACCAAGGCTGAAACAGTAGCCCTGCGACGATCTGAGCGTCTCAGCGTCGTCTGCCCAAGAAGCGTCTGTGTGCCCAGTAAGGACCACTGGCCTGCGTCCTCCTAGCACTAACCCCATGCCTGATGTACTAGCAAGATAACGCAAAACCCTCTTAGCGGCAGACCAGTGCTGAGGTCGGTGTCTGCCTGTAGCCACAAAGCGAGCCAGGATGCTGAGAGGGTATGCGAGATCTGGGCGAGTGCAAGTCATCAGGTACATGAGGCAACCCACCAGCTCTGCGTAGGGGCCACTGGGCTCTACTGGCTCCTCAGGAACGGGAGCAGAGAGCCCATGGTCTACGGGTAGAGGTGTGGGCTGTGCGGAGGAGAACTGAAGACCGAACCTCTGAAGGACCTGACGCACCAAGTGTGACTGGGTCAGAGTGATGGTGCGTGCTGCTCTGTCCCTAGAGATCTGCAGGCCAAGATAGCGACGCAGCTCTCCAAGGTCAGTGCAGGTGTGTCTCTTCAGCAGCTCAGCCTTCACAGAGGCCAGTGCGTCCCTGTCAGGAGTAGCGAAGACCAGGTCGTCTACGTAGACAAGGATGTAGAACGGAGTCTGGCCGGAACGCACAAACAGTGAAGGGTCAGCAGAGGACGGAAAGAACTGCAGGTCTGCTAACGTGGCACGTAGCGTGTCGTGCCACTCGCGGGGAGCCTGACGCAGGCCGTAGACCGGGCGCCTGAGAAGCCACTGGGTCCCAGGAGGGAAGGTACCAGTGAAGCCCTGTGGTCGGCGCAGGTAGACCTGCTCGTGTAGGCTGCCCTGAAGAAAGGCAGTAGAGAAGTCGAGGGAGTGAAGCTCGTAGTCACGCTGTGCTGCTACGTGTAGCAGCGCCCGAAGAGTGGTCATCTTCGGGGTCGGGGCGAAGGTCTGGAAGAAGTCAACCCCCTCGCGCTGACTGAAACCTCTGGCCACGTAGCGCGCCTTGAAGACAGGCGGCTCTCCAGGGGGGCGCTTCACCTTGAAGAGCCACCGACCATCGACTACGTTCACCCCAGGCGGGGGAACTGCGTCGACGTAAGTGCCGGTGGATCTCCAAGATGCCATCTCCTGCTCCATGGCAGCTATCCACTGAGAGGCCCAAGGTCCCGAGGTGGCCTCAGCGTAGGTGCGAGGGGTCGGGATGTCGAAGGCGTCTGGGTCACCCTCAGGGACTAACAGCATGGAGCAGAGATGGGGAGCAGCCTCGGAAAGGAAAGCCAGCTCGTACTGCCTGTCCTCTAGGACGTCACTGCCAAGGGCAGGAGCACCCCCGACGGACAGAGGACGGGCAGGGTCAGAGACCAGAGCGGTAGCGTAGTCAAGGCGGCGGGTAGAAGCGAAGTCAGCGACAGCAGCGACAAGCGCGTCAAGGCGCGAGACAGGAACAGCAGGGTCGGTAACAAGAGAGGCAAGGACCCGAGGGACAAGGGGACGAGCAGCACGGAGGTAGTCAGAGAACGGAGGAGGTGCAACAGCAAGGGACGAGGGAGGAGGGGACGGGAGGAGGGGAGGACGAGACGAGTGGGAACGGAGCAACATAGGGTGGGTGGGCAGGACAGGAGAGACGGGACGAGCACGGGAGGGACGGCGAGCCCAAACGTGAGACGGAGGGGTAGGGTCAGGGGACAGCGGAGGAGACACAGGAGGGGAACGAGGAGGAAGACGGGCCGGAGACGAGTCTGGCGGCGGGAACACAGGACCGTAGACAGGGAGGTCAGGAGGCGGTGGGGGAGACACCGGCGCGCGGTCCGGGGAGGGAAGGCCGAGCAGGCGGAGAGCGGAAACCGGCGGCGACGGCTGCTGCGGCGGCGACGACGGCTGGGCCGGAACTCTCGGACCAGCAGAGGCAGAACGACCGTCGGCAGAACACTCAACAGCAGCACCCCCAGAACCAACACCCCCAGAGCGAGAACCCCCTCCAACACCAGCGGCACCCCCAGAAGCCGCAGGACGAACACCCTCCTCCACACCAGCACCCCCAGGGGCCGAGAGCAGCGGCGGCAGTGGCGGCAACGGCTGCGGCGGCGGCGACAGCGGCGACGGCTGCGGCAGCGACAGCGGCGGCGGCGGCGACGAAAGCGGCGACGGCTGCGGCGGCGACGGCGACGGCGGCGGCAGCGGGGTCGGCGACTGCGACAGTGGGGGCGGAGGCACCGGGGAAGGGGGACGCGGCAAGGACGGACCGGGGGTACCACCAGAGTCAGCAGACTCCTCAACGGGGACAACCGACGGGAGGGGAGTGACGTGGGAGACACCAGACGGGGCAGGACGAGGCGGGAGAGGGGCAGGGGCTACCGGGGGAGAGGGAGCAAGGAAAAGGGGGGGGGCAACTGGGAGACCTCGGTGAGGGAAGCGGCGGTAGAAGGAGACGGACTCATCAAAGGTGACGTCACGAGAGTGGAGGAAGCGGTGAGACGGCGGGTGGTAGAAAAGCCAGTCAGACGAGTCCAGGGGGAAACCGAGGAAGACACAGGGGACAGTGCGGGCAGTGAGCTTGTCCGTGCCAGAGGCACGAACGTGAGCAAGGCAGCCCCAGACGTGGAACGCAGACGCGTCACCGGGGGACCCGGTCCAAAGGAGGGTCGGCGAAACCTGCGGCCGCTGGGAGCGTGGCCACAGGTTAAGCTGGTGAGCCGCGTAGCGAACAGCGAACGGCCACAGAAAATGGGGGGCATCGGCATGGATCATGGAGGTACGGGCGACCTCCATGACCAAGCCGATGCGGCGCTCAGCAACCCCATTCTGCTGTGGCGAGTCCGGCAACGTGTACGACTGGGTGATGCCCTCCGCACGACAGAACTGTCCAAGCCGACCAGAGGCGAACTCGCCGCCACGGTCGGAGTGGAGACACAACACGGGGAGACCGCGGTGGAGACGCGCAGCCACAACCCACGGGAGAAGAACGTCGGGCACGTCGGCCTTCCGCTCCAGGGGAAACACCGTGGTGTAGCGCGTGTAGTTGTCGACAAGCACAAGGAAGTAGCGCTCACCGCGCGGTCCGGGGACGGGGGCAGGGCCCCAAACGTCCAAGTGCAGGGTCTGAAGGGGGGCAGTAGCAGGACGCAGCGAGGAGGAGTGAGGAGCACGGCGGAGCCGACCCTCGACGCAAGGCGTGCACGGTGGCGCAGTCGAGGGAGGAAGGGCAGGGAGCGACGCGGGGAGACCTAAGACAAGACCGTGCTGGGACATGTGACGCAGACGCGGGAGAGCAGGGTGACCTAAGCGGTGGTGCCAGAGAAGGGAGGGGTGAGTGAGGGACCGACACGAGCAAGCTGCAGCGACCTGGGAGGACGCACCAACCGGGGGGGAAGCGGTGTGTAGGGTAAACAGACCGGACACCGGGTCCCGGGGGAACGTCGCAAGGGGGGAACCTGAGACAGCCTCAGAACAGACAGCGAACCGCTCGTGCCCGGGGAACGTGGTGGTGACGCCGAGGTCCTGGAGACAGCCGACACCAACCAGGTTCCTGGAGAACGAGGGAACGTGGAGGCCAGTAAGGGAGCCCGAGGGAACTGCCGGACAGGGAAGGGACGTAGAACTGCGCGCGACGACCGGACCCGCAGAGGGGTCAGCGAGAGAGACAACAGCAGGTGCAGCAAGCGGCGTGAGCGTGGAACGGTCGCGGAAGAAGCAGGCAGAAGCACCAGAGTCGAGAGTGAAGGACAGCGACGCAGTGGCGGGGGGCCGGGACGGAGCCGGTGCAGCGACGAGACTAGGCAACCTAGGCAGTCCTACGCCTGTCGCAGCAGGGGAAGCTAAGCTACACAAGGGTGAAACACCTAAACTAGAGTACACAGGGTAGTAAGATCCATCAACACTAGAAGCGTCAGCATACAAAGCATGCAAAGCAGCACCTATCTGATCCATGTCTAACTCAAAGATCGGCACGCCCTGGCGGAGCAGGCTGTGCCAGTCAGGGAGGTCCGGGGCCGGGCCAAAGCGACGACGAAAAAGATCGTCGAGGCGGCGGAAACAGTGGGCGGTCGGGTGCGGGCGGCGGCACAGAGTGCCGCGGAGAGGCCCGGTCTGAAGCTGGTACTGGCAGGTCACAGCACTGGAGCCGCTGGTAGACGCCAAGCTGCGCGGGCCGCCACCACGGCCACCGCCTCCGGAGGTGCCGGGCCAACCAGGCGGG